TGTTGTTAATTTACGTCGCACTAGAGCTGCACAATGGGCTATTGGCGACGGTCTGGGAAACATCCCGGAGGATGATCCGAAGACATGCCATCACAATTTTGATCCTCTGCGGAGGGGATGGCTCCCCCGCTTCGGTAGCCCGACGACGATATGCGCGCGAAGTCGAGCACTTGACGGTAGCACAGTTTAACGAGGACCCATACCGCAAACCCTCGGTCCCTACGCAGACTGATTCAAGTGGTCACCCACCCGCACACTGACCGTAGCCAGTGATCTGCTGGGAACCGTGTCTTAACGATCAGTCCACTGCGGGACAATTATTTAATAAAAAGTAAATAAAATAAAATTTTTCTTTGTTAACCTAAGTTAGAATTGACTTTAATTTTATATTACTTGTTTTTATACTTTTAATTTACGCATTGTTACATGACACATTTGTTTAAATTAAACTTACAATTTGAATCGTTTACTGTTTAATTAAATCGAAAATCACATTATTGAAAAAAGAGTTTTATTGCAAACTCCTCAATTATCTTATGAACACTGGGCAAACATTATGCACTTAACAACGTCTCATATGCACTAACTATACTACGCTGTTTCTGTCCTTAGCAAATGGTATTGATTTGAAATAGAATTTATTTGAAAAAAAAAAGTATTCTATTAAAAAATATATATATATATTCTTAAAAAATAAAGCCAAAGTCTTTCCAGATAAAAAAAGCCAGAACTGGTTGATAAGGAAATTAGATGAAATAATTACTGACTCTGAAGTACATATACCGCTATTTTATTTTATAAAATTAATTAAAGATTGGATGTCATTGTACTCTTTTCACATAAGAAGAATGGATCATATTCTCTTTCCTTTCCTGATTTTCCTTATCATTCATGAAAAACAGCATTAAAAAAATAGAAAGTGGAATTATGTTTTCTGAAAGGTATGATAACGTAAAAAAATTGTATTGTATTCATTTCAATTCTCTGGAACAGGTGTCACATCAGTGATATATATATATATATATATTTTTTTTAAAATTAATGTGCTCTATTTTAGTTTCAATTTTTTTGAGTGCTCTTCACACTACTGTATTGATATGTTTCGCTTTGGCTAAATTGATACAATATACGGATATACTTTTCCAGCTTTTTAATTTTTTTTTAAATTAAAATTTTTCTCTTTTCATTAATCTACATTATTTTCCATGCCTTTTTAATATAGCATAATATATATATATATATAACGTCGTTGCCGAGTGGAAGGATTAAAACAGGTCTTAGGCAGGGAAGAAAGGTACAAAATTTATTTATTAGACAGAGATCAGATATAAAAGTGTTGACGAAATGTTGTGCTCCCCATGATTAGTTAGAGAAAATCTTGTAAAGTAAATCCGTAAAAATGTTTCATTTCAGGGAATAAGGGAAATCTTAGTAATTGTAATTGGCTTATTAAATAGGTCGCGCGACACCCACAAAGAGCAAAATGTCTCGCTTTTAATTAATGCATACTTGAGCCAAAAATAGATTAAAGGACAGATTGTCAATTTAAAAGAGTGAGAAAGCATTTAGTTTTGAATGATAAATTAAGAAAAGAATATTCAGAAAAAAATTAATTGAAGCTTTTTATGTTACACACACATACTATACATATAAACATTCAATTTCACAATGGATTGTCATTAAAAACATATTAAATAGATCATACACATAATTAATCCTCGAGAAATGAATAGTCGCCCTTTTAATTTTATATTGCAGGAATCGTACCGTGTACCGATCATCATATCTGCTCCACCTCACATCTCCCCCCACGACATTCCAGTAAGCATCGAGCTTCATGACGACGACAGGTACATCAAGTCATCCCCTGATCTTCATCCCATAGAACCCATTCACCTGCGGCCCCTACACCATCATCCCAGATCATCTAAGATGGAAGTCTACCATGGACCAGTTGCTGTACCAGCCGATTATCCCTACGGAAGTGCTGAGGTACTTATTTTACATTTTCTTGAAGAACTTATCCATGCAACTAATTAAGCTTTTTATTCTGGGCAGCGTGTTAAAGTCTTTTCAACCTAAATTTAAGAAATATATCGTATTTTTTTTTTAAAATACTAAGCATAGGCAAAGTTCCAGTTAGGTGTATTACAGATCTAAATTTAGAAAAATGGAACATTACGAATTTATTTGGATCCATATGTTTACTCTAAAAAAAAAAAAGGATTTTTTTAAAGAGTGAAAACTGGAATCAAAGGGTCCATTTTCTTGAGTTGTGTTCATTTTCTTAAACACGTTTTTTGAGTTGCGCCAATTTACTTAACCCCTTGTCTGTGAAATATATTTGAGGGAAATGCGACAAAAATGGAGGAATAAAATTCCTATTAAATTTGATCGTTATTATAGTACGTGAGAAATAGATTATTTAAAAAAATAAATAAAATAGCCATTATATTCAATATGTTCACACAAATGAGAAATGTTAATGGATAACAGTAATTTTTGCCTAAATTATAGCAAAATAAATCAAATTACATAATTTTCAGGATAAATATAATAAACTAATACAATAATATAATTATTTATATCAACTGTCACGAATTCCATGTCCCTCCGATTCCTTTAAATTTCCGACACATTCCAAAAATCCGACAACTGGCGCGAATCTGCCGGTCTTTTCGCCGGTAAATGACTGAGCTCGTGCTTCACGAAATGGGGTGCTTGCACTTCAAGAAGATCACAGATACCCACACATGGGACCTATGACATGAAAAGTACCTATTTAGGAACAGAACAGTTTAAGGTAGAAGTACCATCTTTGGAAAAAGTATGGTTTATCACTATATTGCCTAAATCTCTTTATAGGGTGCTCCAGAACCTTTCTCGCAAGAAACTACGGATATAAATGGGTGCTATTCAAAATTCTGTCATAGTAATGTACTTTATTTACAGCCTCATCACTATTATGAGCCAAAGAACGAATTGCCAGTAGAGGATCATGGAGATTTGTCGGCCATACCAGGAGCTCCCGGACTAGATTATCCCACTTACTCCCATCTTCCAGAGACAGGATTCAAGTGTTTACAGCATACATCCACTCCAGGATTTTATGCTGACGTAGAGACCAAATGTCAAGTAAAGTATACATTATGATAACCGACTTTTTTTCTGCAAAACCTTAAGAGTAGTTATTTGGGTATTCTATTTTTCAAGCTCTGAAAGCTTGTTCAAAGAGGATTTACCTTTTGTCAAAAAAATTCTAGAAAAAAAAAGAGTACCTGAAGATTTTCTTTTGAAAGTTTTCCTAATTTTATTAATGATTGCTGTTGTAGTTCATTTGCGTTGCACTAGAGCTGCACAATGGGCTGTTGGCGATGGGTCTAGGAAACATCCCTGAGGATGATCCGAAGACATGCCATCACAATTTTGATCCTCTGCAGAGGGGATGGCACTCCTGCTTCGGTAGCCCGACGACCTGCACGCGAAGTCGAGCACTTTACGGTAGAACAGTTTAACGCGGATTAATACAGCACACCCTCGGTCCCTACGCAGACTGAATATCCAAGTGGTCACTCACCCATACACTGACTGCAGCCAGAGATGCTTGACTTCGGTGATCTGCTGGGAGCCTTGTCTTAACGACTGTGGGACAATAAATGATTGTAAAAGATATATATTCGAATCAAAGTGCATTGTAATAAGAGCACTACTTTTTATTGCTTAATCATAAAAAATTCCCAATGATGTGAGTTGAATTTGAATTTGCTGGACAATAATAATAATGATTTTTTGAATCCATTTAAAAAATGGGAACAATACAAAGAAAAAAAATTGCAAATGATAATTTTATTAATTATTTATGTCAAAACATCATACGAAACAAATAAATTTTACTTCATTAGAACAACAAGAAAACTATATTTTATTTTGAGTTTTTAAAATGCATTTTGGTTTAATAAACTCTGGTTGGTTTTGTACATTATGGCTTGAGTTAAAACATCTTTTTTTTACTAGTCAATAATTTTTTATTCTATAAAATAAAAGAATTAAAAATGACAATTGTAAAGGTAGAATAAGTCAAATTATTTCGGAAGTAAAGGCAGTCGGAGTGCAAAGATGATCACATTGTAACCATCATGACTATGGGTAACGAAATTGTGGAAGCTTAACCACTATGGCCCCTCAATGGGCTGCTGTGGGAATATTTTACTTTAAGAATTGTTAATACCATACATATATATATATTTTCAATAATATTCACTTAATATTCCTAAAACATATTTTATTATTTATAAACGCGCCCTTCAATGGGGGCCTGTTTTATAACTTACGTAATTATAGTTCACTTTAACCAATGCATAAAATGTTATTACGATTATTTCTTTTTAACAAAAAATATAAATAAATTACAATTTAAGGCTCTAGTCAGACTGCCAGGTGATTATAATTAATTTTGACCAATGCATACAATTTATTAAAATTTGTGAGTTAATGTTATGATAAAAATACTAAAATAAAATTTTTTAGTGTTATTTGTCTCGTTGTTCAAAGAAATATAATAAAATTTTATACTATGCACTTGTTTGACATATTATTAGTTTTTGGGTTAATTGACATTTTATTCAAAAAAATTTATTGAAAATCAAAGAAAAAATTATTTTTATTTTCAAAGATCAAAATAAAATATGAACAATAATAATAAATAACTACACCTCTGACAAACAAATTTAAACTAAAACAGTCATGTAAATTTGTGTGCGTTATTTTCATATTCTGTAGAATTTTTCAAGACCCTTTATTCAAAATTGTACAGTTAATATAGATATAAAAGAAGTTTCAGCATTTTTCTTTAGAAAAAACAAACAATACATTCTTTGTAAGGAATTTAAACCAAGGCCTTAACACTCTTCTTCATTTCAGTATGGCCTTGTTCTTTAGTAAAATTTTTCTTTATCTTTTGCAGATGTGGCATTACTGCCAACCAGATGGCCGACACGATCGATTCTTATGTCCGAATGGTACCGTTTTTGATCAACTCACACGAGTCTGCAACTGGTGGTTTAATGTCTACTGTGACAACTCGTTGTCTTACTACGATATTAATTTCGACCTTTACCGTGAATCGCCAAGAATAACACAACCTTCAGAAACTCCGGTTTACTACCACGAGGCCAGACCTTCGCATCCCGAGAACTCCGTGATGATCAGTCCCAACAGCTTTCTCAGGCATGTGGAAGAATTCGAGGCTAAAATAAGACCAGGCGACAGTTACAAAGAATACAGCCCATACGACAGCCACAACGCCCCACTACTGTCTGCGGCAACCCGGCAAGAAAAGCGTTATCCACTCAAGTTGGCACCTTCACCACAGGTCAGGCACGATCCGGACGTGTCTCCGGACTCCAGCAACGCTCGCACCGTGTCGACACCGGTCGAAAAGCCGTCCCGCAAGAGAGGTCAGAAGAAGAGAGTGCCAAAGCGGAAAAAGCAATTTCATTCCACGCATGTTCCAACCTACAGGGAAGCCAAGGCTACTCCTGCTGCGAGGAGATATCGCTTGGTTCGAAGACGGAAGGTGAACAAAAACTAAGTAGATAGAAAAAATAAAATTGAAACGATCGACAGTCAGTCATTTGTATCTGATATGGGCCAATCCACATGACTTTGACCACCTGGTTACCGTTTTTTGGAAGTTGTACTATTTTGAAAGAACTTCTTAAGAACATCAGCCATTTTAAAAGATGTGTTCCTGAAGTTTAGTAACTTCATAAGGACCGTTCTCACTGGATGCGATTTTTCTGAATAAGAACCTGATTGTGAGTTTTACGCAGGTAAAAATGAGTCTCCAATGAGGTTCGCATTTGCTCCCAATGAGAATGGCCCTTAAAACTATTTTTCCAGTACAGCAGTCACCATTGAGGTGCTTATTGATGCGATCCAAATGAAATTTTAAAAATTATGTAATTATTACTAGAGCCGGCTTGTATAATATTAGTGGCTAACTTTACAATTAATCAAGTAGCCGTATGATCCGCTAAAAATAATGAAAATTCAGTGGTCTTACTGGCTCTTGAACTATGATGTAAAATAATTTATTTCTGGAATATATTTGATTTCTTCTACATCACATACAAGGGAACTATAAGGCATAAATTGTTATGCAGTTGAATGTTTTTCACAAATAAGATCTATTTTTATACCATAGTTGTAATATATTTGTCATTATTATAGTATTTTTATATTAACTACAGCAATTACATATATTTCTATTTGCGAGTTGTGGTATTCGAAAAAACCATGCATATTCCGAATATACTTTAGAACCATATTCGTAAAAAACTTACTCAACTTCCGTTTTAGTGATATAATTTATGATCCTATTTCGTTAAAAATTGACAATTGAAAATGACCGTAAATGAAAAGATGTGCTGTCACACACTTTTAAAAATTACCTATCAATGTTTATTAAAGAGATTTTTAATGAACAAAAATTGCTTCATTTTCGGGTTTCTTTTTAAAATGAAAGGCATGGGTTGAATACATATTTATTTAATAATAGTAACATGGTATGTTTATTTTATCAGCTGAAACTATTGTACATAAATAGCTAACATTGTTACTGAAAAAAGGAGCTTTTGTAAATACTTTTTTTTTTCAATTGATCTGTATTGCTTAATAAAGTATACTATTTTGCTATACTATGATAGTTGTTGTTTTATTCTAGTCAAAACTTTAATGTTAAATTTTCTTCCCCCTAGCACCAATTAATAAAAACCTTCAACAGAAAACTTCATCAACATTTTCAATCCATTAAAAGCTGATGTTTGACTCCACATAAACTTTTAAGAGATTTAAAGTTTCTGCAAACTTTTCTGTTGGAAAAAGATATAATATGTAATTAATAAAATTTAAAAAAAAAAGATGTTTATTCAATTTTTTGCTATCTATGCAAGAAAAATCAAACAAAATTTAAACAATGACTGTTTGTTTTAATTTCGACTATATTTACTGCAAACTTAAGATGGTTGGTTCAAACTCTATTATAACTAATGATCAAAACGATTTATCATGAAAGTTAAATAAATACTTAAGTTAAGTTTAATAAATACAACAGTAAACTGCAAGTTGTTGAATTTTCCTCACTTAAATTGAAAACATTTTAAAAAATTCTTGTATTTTTTTAATTAAAAAAAAAAAATCCAAATGCCAATGTATTGAGGATGCGTAAGTATTTTTATTTATATCAGCTTTATTTGTCAGCAGAGTTGAAAAAACATCAATAAATAAATAAAGTAATAAATGAGATTACAGAAAGCGTAAAAATTTCCCTGACTAAGATCTTTCACTAATTTATGGTGGTTCCTAATTATAATAGCTTTCCATTTACTTAGAATCATTATAAATATGCAATATACATTGTTAAAAAACTCTCTTTTTAGTAACCACATATGTAAAATATATTTATGAAAAACTTTTTAAATTGAAAAAAAAATCTATTGAAAACAATGTATTACATTTTTTAAATGTAAACATTCAGAAAAATATTGCACAGGGCATGAAATGCTTATATAAGCAATTTATTCTAATCAATAAAATCTCCTGATTTCTCCCATTTCCGTTACCTTTCTGGAATTATGAAAATTTACAAATTAAACTCACGATAAAAATATGTTAAACCACAACTATCACTACATTAGAAAAATATACCAAGATTGCTTGTTTTCGATAAAGATATAACTAATAATAATATAGGTAAAATAATAAAATAGAGTTAAATATCTTGGCAACATGAATGCCTAGCTATTATCTACTGAACATTTAATCAACTTAACATGTAACAATGTGTACCTAACATCAAATCTTCTTAAATAACTTTGTAAGAGAATCCAATGATTTGTTTTAATGAGCAAAAGAAAAAAATACTGAGAAAAAATCTTAAACTGAAACTCAGTTTTCAAATTCTAATAATGTAATCAAAATGTCTATAAATATATTCAGGCATTTGTTATTTTTATCATTTAAATTACATTTACTTCTAAGAAATACATTTAAAAACAAATATCTTTTCAACAGTCAAAATCTGAAAAAAAAAAGTCAAAAGTCAATGAGTTCAAATATCTTTTAATCAGTTTTTACATAGTTTATTCATATAAATTCTATTATTTATATATTATATGAAAAATTTAGACATTTAACTGAACTTTTTGCACCTGGAAATAAAAACATGTTTCCCAACAAATATGATTTAATTTAATTTAAAAAAAAAAAAAAAACTAAATTAATTAAAGTGGAAATGATTTAATACTTATTTAATGAAAAGCCAAATAACATTTTTAGAACTACTTTTAATTTTGAACATAGATATTAAAAGCACAGAATTGAAACAATTCTGTAATAAATGCAGTTTAAAATCTAAGTTAACCCTTTGTGGGTATATTTTGGCTTTTCCTGCATCAAAAATTACCCCCATGTTACTCGTTCAACGAGACAGTACCCGGTTGCTACTCAAATCTGGAGAAAAAAATTCCCTGTGTTTTCCATGTACATATTATACACGATATATTAAGAGGAAACATAACAATTACTGCGCTCGTGTATGTGCAATATTGGGCTAACTATACTAGTTATAATTGCTGAAAAAACTTAAAGAACAGCTGAACATACTTAATAATAATGCTATAGTAAATGAACTAGTTTAAAATAGCCGAAATACCCTATAGATTGAACTTTGAATGGTCACTATTTTTCAAAAGACGGAAATGCGAAACAAAATTCCCTGTATTTTCCCAGTTTGCAAGGAAAACCTCAAAATTCCTTGCATTATCCCTGCTATTTTAGACGATTTTTAAACTCCCTGTATTTTCCAGGTTTTCTCTGCAGAGTGGCAACCCTGCAGTAGCAGGGAAATTTTCATAAAATTTTATCCAGCGACTCAATATATAAAGGGTTAATTAAAAAAAAAGTAGGTAACATTATTTTTTTAAACCAGGTATAAAATATTAGATCTTTGAAATACCAAGTTAAGATAAATCTAAAATAAGAACATAAATGTACACAAAAAATAGTTTCTTTTTAAGTGTTGAAATAGTCATTAGGAATAGAACGACGGACATTAAATAGGAAAAAAAAAGCTTGTCACAAAGTTATTTGGCATGTTAAGGATTTACCAATGCGTCTGACTGTGAGGATGGTGACAAAAATTGAGATTGCAGTGCACGTAGGTGATCTTTCAGCTTGTCTTCTTCCAAATTGCACTCCTGTGCGAGATTGATGAGATGAATCGCTAACTTGATTTCCTCTCGATTTTCCTTACAGGGAAATACTTTTTCATTTTTCTATAAATGATATAATCAATATTATAAAATCTCAAGCAATTATGTTCAAGTAAATATGCATAATTTAGCCAGTTTGAGGAAAGTTTTTCTCCTCAGCTGAAAAGTTTTTAGCATTACATTTTTCAAAATATTGAAACACTACTGTTAACCGCTTCCCTGATTTTCCCGAGTAAACTTGAGTATGTATTTATTGCACAGCAGAATTCGTCAATACGTTTTTGCTCGGCTGGAAGCAAAACAAAGAACAATAACCTGCTGTGATTGGAAGTTTGCCAACTTTTGTTTGGGAGTTTGTGGGACCGCAGGCGTGTTTTGTACAATTGTATACAAGATGGTTGATGAATTTACGTAGAAAAGAAAAGTTTTAAAAAATGGCGTTCACGAGCGAAAGAAAAAGTAATGCAGATGATTTTTCAAATTATGAAAATGTGGACACAAAGACTAATATTCAACTTTTTTCATTTGCCCCAGATAATTTGGGATAGTAAACGGATGGTAAATAAAACATTTCTTACACATAAAAAAATTAAAATTTCAACTTAGAACTTGTGTATTATTTTTGTTTTAGTTCTTTGTATTTATTAAAGAAATAAAAAAATAGGTTGAATTTTTGCATTTTTTTTAAATGGCAAGGGAAGCTGTTAAGAAACATTAAAATTAATTTACCCAACGGTCAAAATCAAATAGAAGCAAAATTTTTTAATCTTTATTATAGATAATAATAAAATGAAGAGAAACAATGAGTCAATTTGGCACCCTTTTTCGAATAATGATGGCAAAATGCCCCACTTGCCATACGCCACTGAGAATGAGTGAAAAATTGTATTAAACGATAACGATTTTTTCCCCAGAAAAATAAACACTTAATTGGGTATAATATGAAAAAAACACAACTACTTCCACTTCGAAAATTTTACTAGGAATAACATTTACTTTTTAGTTTAATTAATAAGCTGAGTTATAATATGTTTACTAAATTTATAAACTTAGATAAAACAACAAAATAAATTATTTCAAAAGGAACTAGATAAACACAATTCCAACCTGCCGAGTAACGACTTATAACAACACACTTCCTTTAATGTTTACTTGTTGCTAGAAATCAGGTTCGCAGAAAGTGCTGTTTACTAGTTAAATTTAGTAGGAATAACACGACCTGTGACGTAGGCTATAGTATACCCAATTAAAATGATCGCTAATTAATATGATTTTTTAACTCATCATCTTCACGTCAAACTCATGTTCCTGTTCAAGATTCTAAGATAGAAATATAATTCTGAAAGCAAGTTTGAAAGCACTAAAAAAAAAAAAAACTTTTTCAGTCACAGTGTTTAATAAGCTTAAAATTATTTTACTAATCATCATAATATTATTAGTAACATACACCACATGGTTATTCCCTGAATTCAAAGGATAAAAATATAAAAATCAGAAACATAATTTTTAAAAATTTGTTAAAATAATTACTGAGCGCATGTTTTGAATTTTTTGATACAGAAAGTTTGATGTTTCATTAAAACACTTTTAGTTAAGAGATGAAGTATTGATAGTTATTGTTCCATTGTAGAAAAGATTTTTTTTCCAGAAAGTCTTTTAAACTTTGAAAACAAAGATGTGACCAAGTTCTTTCTATTTCAACTATTACTTATATGCCAAAATTTGGTAATTCTCAAAAGACCTTTCTCTGACCAAATTGCAAAAATTTACAAATATGAATTTTTGATGCATTACATATCTCTGAAATTCGTAACTCAAATTCTTTATCGCCTGATCAGAGAACAAATCTGTTTTAGTGAGTGGTGAGAAATATAGTAACTATCAAATCAATATAAACTTATAACTATTTGATGTACTGTAAGGACTTCCCTAAACATGCCTATTTAGAATTTAACAAAAATGAAAACAAAAATGAAAACAAAAAAGTAAACACATTGAGTGGTAAATTCAACATTTTAGAGAAGAAAAATGAAGGGCTATCAATTTGACAAACAACAGTTTAGGAAGATAGATGTAATAAACAAAACATGCTTAATTGTAGGTTGAAAGTATTTCTAATAATCATCTTTCAACTTCTCTCAGAATCAAACCTCTCTTGTTTATTATATCTGGCTTAATGTACTGTGCTTTGCCAGTTTTGCTTTTTCTTTGCTTAAATGTCAATATAATTATCTACCACCAAAGTGTAAGTTTATATTAATTTTTGATAATTATTCTAAAAATGCATATTGAGGGCGTTCTTCACGGAACACTCTGTATACCAGCCTGCAGGTGAAGTAATGTAAGCTAGCATAACATAATATTTGTTACGGGTCAGTATCAGTAACACTAATGGCTTATTGGTCAATATTTGTCCAAATATAAACTTCCATCACTTTTGTAACGGGTGGCTATGAGAAAAATTTGAGTGTGTTGGTAGAGTTGAAAGGGGCAGATATAATTGCGGCTCACATACAATAAATAGCATTGACATCAAAGAAATGTGTTCGATAACGACCCAATATCATCGGCTGTTTCTGGACGGACACTTTTTTGCCGCAGCGGATTTGGCCAACACTATCAGACCGATAAGGAGTACTATCAGCAATTTGATATGGGCCCGCTATCAACCCTTAAATGTGTGTTTGTTGGGACTCTCTCATTATTCAGGGTGCATAGCCAGATTTTCAAACAAAAAATAAGCACCTTTTAGGTACTTTTTGAGCACTTAAAAATTATTTTCAATCACTTTCCAAAAAAAAAAAAAAAAAATCAGAATTACGATCTGAGCAGCAATAAGAATTATTTTTTTCCCATTGTTTAAAGTTCTTAATTTATAATTATAAAATCATTAAAATTCAAAAACTTTACATAATAATGATAAAATAACTAGTTTCTGATAAGTATTGCAGAAAATTGCGAAAATCTTGAATTTTTTTTTTTGCAATTTAGAACGACAAGAAGAGGGAAAGAAAAAATCTCTTTTTAAAAGATAGAAAATTAAGCACTTTTTTCAAACCCTTATTAAAGTAAGCACTTTTAACAGCTTTTAAAAACGTAAATAAAAATAAGCACATCTTTAAGCACTTTTTAAAAAAGCTACGTTTATAATTATTTACAAAAACACAACTAAGACTATGACAGTAAACACACTAAACACGAATAAAAATATAATGCCACGGACATAACAGAATTGTTTTTTTCTCAAGCAAAAGCTGTAGACCCTGTTGCAATTGATGCAGATTGTTTTCATTGTTTTGTTACTTTCTTGTCAGGAGATACATGTAAGCTTTTTAAATTGTTTAAATAAACTAAAATAGGGAATACATACACTGGCTTCCACTTCTGGTGATGCTTGTACCAGTTCATGGGCCTCTTTTAAGACACATTCCGGCAATCCAGACAGTTCTGCTAATTTAATTCCTACGAATAAACTTATGTATTAAATCCCAACATATATTCATGTTTGCTCAGGTACAAAAGATAAACAGAAGTCTAATATACCGTAATATTTTTCCTTACAAGAACCAGCGATCAACTTGTAAGTAAAGTTGCAGACGCACCCCTCTTCTTCATTTACTACTAAATCAACATTAAAATGGTAGCTAGGAAAAAACAAAAAGTACACAGAATTAAATAATTAAGAACAAAAACTGTTGATTGAAAATTATTTTTATAACAAAAAGGATTATTAGAAGTTTTGCTAAGCCAAATAAAACATAAAAATATTTTCTAAATTTTTCATTTAAAAATAACGCTGGCCAGAAAAATAAAGAGTTTTGTGAATTGAAAACTAATAGTTGTTAAGATTTATGTAAGAAATAAAAATGCCTTTTTCTGTTAGTAGGGCAGGAAGTCCAAAATATAAAAACTAAGAGCAATTTAAGTATGCTGATTCTCTAATGGGAGCAATTTGTAATATCAACGTGGATTTACAGATACACAATTAGTAATAATTTTAATAGCCACGAAGGCGATAATAATTTTAGTAGCTTGCCACTAAGGGGCAAAAAAACATTTTTTAAAAAAAAAAGAACTCAGATCTTTTATTAAATACAAAAAAAGGAGACAAAATAGTCTAAATATGGAAAATTGTTGAGTAGTAGCAAAATAGGAGGATTTTTTTTTGTGAAAAACAATAGAGTATGATATAGTGATGAGGAGGGAGTAGAGAGAAAAGAACTTTTTATGCATTTCTCTCCCATCGAATGTTTTTATGACATCAAATCAAGGGTAATTGTCTCTATTGGAAGTTTCATTTTGTTACTTTGTTTCATGGTACATAAAATTTCCTCAATTCTTTTTTTTTAGATAAATAGTATTTTTTTCATTCTGTTAACTTCAACAAAAATTTGGAAAAATCAAAAACATTTCAGGACATTTATTGAAATGTTTCATATTTAAGGACATTTAAGCCTTTTGTTAAGGAATTTAAGGACAACTTTGATCCCCGTGTTAGACACAAAAATAAATATTTCCCAAATTAATATCCACCTGTAGAAATGATAAGCATATAACTTTACACTTGTAATATAATATATGTGTAATGTATTTTTAAAGACATGTGTATTCAATTAAAGCATATTTGACAGAATATGTTGGTAATTTCTATTGTATTGGGACCCACATGAATGCTTCTGCAACATATTTTGCAAACCTTGGTTTTTTCAGAGGTCCATTAGGTTCCTTCTGTAAGTATCGTGCAGTTTAATATTACAAAATAAAATAATTTAACTTTTATAGCATTTAAAGATATAATTTGCTCGATACATCATTTTTTATACACTAATCTGACATTTGTTATATCATATTTTTTATATATTTGGCAAAATAAAGAGAATTATAATCAATGAAAGAAAGCAAATATAGTCAATTTAATATTTTTTAAAAATAATGCTTTTTAAAAAAAAATCTAATTCTGAAATTCAAATTTGTTTTGATGTGAATGTAAGCGAAAATTAGTTTCGAGTAAAAAAAATAAATTATTTTCAACAAATTATTCATAAATGTTAAGAGAACTTAAATTTTAATGACTTATAAGTTCATAAAAAAATTTAGTTGAAAAATCATATTTTATTCTTCATAAAACATTTTGTTTGTGGCAAATATTTAATAGTTAAAACAGGGCTGTCCAACTGGCGGCCTGCCAACACATATTGTGCGGCCCGCCAACTTCTTATTCAGGCTGATCGGCCTCAATTTTCTCATTAAAATGTAAGCAAATTGTTTTATAATCCTTCTGTTCCATTGTTTTATAATTAATAATTCAACTATTAATTGTTATTGTATACGAGGTAAGAGGGTATTGCTCAACTTTTTCAAACTGCGGCTCACCAGGTGATCAGTGACCGGAATTCTGGCACATGGGCTCTTTGCAGTTGGACAACCTTGAGTTAAAACATTTTTTTTTAACTTGATAATAAATAAAAAAAATTGTTTCAGATTAAAAATTTTAGTGTCCCCCTTTATGCACATCCTTTTCATGAAGTATTAACAGGAAGATAATTTAAATAAACAGGATTGCTTTAAGTTTTGAACTGCAAGAAGCTACATAAATATCAATGATAGAACTTAGATGGCTGTGGTGTTGTCATAGATGGTATTTTTAGTAGCTGGTCACAGAGAATCATTTATCACCTTCGAAGCAATATAAATTAATATATTGGTTTGGAATGATAACTAGGGTTTTAGTTTCAAACTAATCATTCATTTATAACTGTCTAGACATTCAAGCATAAAGAATTACAGAAATTGAACCAGTGATTATCTGATGAGGTCGATAGTTTTATCTCTCTTTTTTAGTGAAATTAACAGCCTACACATGTTACAAGCACCGACAATCAGTTAAGGATGTCCCAGAATAAGTTTTTACGACCCTATATGCTCTAAGAATCGGAGGCGTAACTACCACTACAATGACTAAACATCAATTCACTAGTATATGAGACACGCTAACTCGATTCAATCTTGGGGATACTTTTCAATAGGTGAAGGTTATCATTGTTGACAACACTATCCCCACATTGGTGATCTGGACATGATATGATGAATCTACTATGATGAATGGTACAAATTGAAAAGTTGACTCGCAATTTGTGACTGCATCCTCCTCCCGCTGTTGCTTCCCAGTCTCATTTGCACAAAATAAGTTCCTGCACACGCTCGACTGCTAATAGCAACACAGGAGAGAGTCTCCACACACATCCGTGAACTTAATACAGCTGTCACCACAAGTACTCAAAACCCAGTCAACTTAACACAGCTCTCCCAGTTTTTTGCAAATGCGGCAACTATCTCCTTTCATCGAATTCCATCCCTGACAAAATTCTGGAGGGGAGTATTGTGGTGTAACTACCACTACAATTATTAAACACCAATTCATTAGTATATAAAACACGGTAACTTTATTCGATCTTGGGTTACCTTTTGATAGATGAAGGGGATTATACTATTCCCACAAATGTATAAAAACCGATCACAATTTAAAATTAAAAGAAGTTCATGCTTCCTGTAAAAACTATTTGTGAATTTTAGAGAACCATGTAGTATTAAACTCAACATGATGTTTCATAAAAATTAAACCTTTTGCATTAATATCAAACTGTTTTACATCAATAGTTTTTTGTTATAATAACCAAAATATTAGTAATAAAGCACTTCAACAATAATTATGATTACTTATCTAGAAAGATATTGCAAATTATTTTAAAATATATTTATGATATTGTTTTTACTTTTCAATGTTAGGGTACATGTCAGAAAGTTGAGTCAGCTGAGAGAAATGTGTAGAGCAGAACACAAATGCCTAAAATAAAAACTTAAATGAATTTAAATAAGATTTAAAAAAAAAAAAAAACATTTGGATGAGGATTAATGAAAATTGCTGATTAAAAATAGAAGACAAGGATGTCATTTTGTACAATAGAAACCTTAATCTTCTAGAAAATAGAGAAAAACTGAAGAAAAAAACACAGAAGGGACTGGAGAAAATAAAAGTAAAAATATTTCCATTTTAATTTAGTTGTACATAGAATTTTTAAATCAACATATAATTTTTTATTTAAGATTGCACTTAATCTTCCAGAAAACAGCAAAACACTGAAGAGAAAAACACAGAAGGAACTGGAGAAAATAAAAGTAAAAATATTTCGATTTTAATTTACTTGTACATAGAATTTTTAAATTAATATATCATTCTTTATTTAAGATTTGCTTTGTACATTCATAATAAATATTATTTAATTATAAAAATTTGTAATTGTGAACTAAATATGGCTTTTTTAAAGTACCTATGTAAAGCATGAGATTTTTCAATTTAATGTATAAATAAAATTTATTAATGTTATTTTAACAGTTATTCATACAATTATAAAATTAGGTTTCACAATACTAGTTTATACAAAATATTGACAAACTTCAATTATTTGAATGTTTTAAGAAATTCATTAAATGTTTTTTTTGTTGTTGCAATTGTTGCTTTTTAGTTTTGAACTGTTTAAAATGATGAATTAAATAGCTTTGTATAAAAACTACATAAAATTACTTAAAACTAGTTTCAAAAAATCCTTTGAAAGTTCTTTCCGAAAAAGAGTTTCTTTCATATTTCCTACATGATGGGAGAAACCTATTTTTTTTTGGGGGGGGGGGAATGCATTACTTCACTGTGGAAGAAACTTGCCATCCCTGATTAGAGAGAAGATGATCCAGTAACTGTGATTCATATTTTCAAGATGTTTTAATATATATATATATATATGTAATGTTATGTCTTTAAAGGCTAGATAATTGAAGAAACTTAGGCTGCTTCTGCTAAAAAGGCATTTTATTTCGTTAGGTGGAGTATTGCAAACATTATGTGTTGGATATTTACATCAGGTTTCCCCCTTTGCAGGGATTGTTTGGATTTGGCCCAGCTTTATCCAGCCATTGAAAATATCGAAAAGACACGCAATTTTGCCTGTCCTGAGTTTTTAAAGTGAGATTCTGAGAGGGCGTTGCAAGTATCTTCTTATCTCAATGAAACGTCATTCAATTTATAAAATTTAAAGGCTTTGATTCGCTAAAAGTATCTCGCCACTCTGACTGTGGGAACTTTCTGGGGACTATCTTCATCGACGAATTATTGCCCATTAACTTCAGAAAATAATCTTTTATCTGGCCTTATCTGGTTCATCTTGACTTTTTATGGCTCTTTGTGAGAGACCGACTTCTACATCTTAAACTTGATAAGAAACATATGTTTTAAGCTTACCAGTTAATATAGAATGACTCGTATGAGAAATTCTATATTACATATATATAAAAAAAAGATTTTACATTTTTAAACATACTCCATGGGCAGATTTAATTTTAGTTAGACTACAAAAAGGAAAAATAAATAAATAAAAACAAAAAAAATCTTACATTATATATATTTCTTTACTGCCACATGTATCCTTCTTTAAAACCTTACTTATTCAATGCCTACTAATAGTTCACACCCCCCTATATCTAGTAGTTATCACCCTCCCTATAATTTTCGATCATGAATAAAATACTTTTCATTCATCCACTCAAGTTCCAATACATTTCTTTTAAACTTGTAGAGGATGACACTTGATCTTAATAAAATTTTTTAATTCATTCATTAAATAGGGATGAGCAAAAAACGAAATGGAATTTTCCGATGGGTGAAGCGTTTTGCTTTAAATTTTACAACAAGCAATTCAGTTTTTCACATATTTTAAAGATAACATCAGTGATCATTTCTAACTTATAGATCTATTTGAACAGAAAAATAGTTCATTGTGCACACATCAATATTTAATTATTTTATATTTGCTGTGCCTGATAAATTCTATAAAGAACAATACGTGGTGGCATGTGTGGTCCACGTCACCAAATTAATAACTATCTGATACAACACATCTTTTTTTTCTCCAATTCCTACTATTAGTTCACCCTCTCCCAATATCTTGTTCAAATGTTCAATCGTTCATAAAATGCTTTTTATTCATCCATAAGTTCAAATACATTTTATTAAACTTTCAGTGGATGATACTTGATGTTAATAAAGCTTTTCTCAAATATGAATTCATTCATTAAATTTAATGAATTAATTTTAGTTTCATGTGGTAGAAATTTTTTTAATTATTTAATAAAAAGTAAATAAAATAAAATTTTAATTTGTTGACTCAAGTAAATATTGACTAATGTATATATATTTTATATTACTTGTAATATTATATAAATACCTTTGTCTTCAGCAGTTCTTCACAAATAGCAAACGCTATAGCATATCCTTCCTCACGCTTAGTACCTAAAATTAATACATGAATTGAAATGATTCTTCACTTTAATGCAAACAAAATCTAGAAGTTTGAGTAACTTACCTTTCCCAGGTTCATCCAAAAGAACTAAGGATTTTTCAGTGGCATTCTTTAAAATGTGACTGGTCTCCTTCATCTTTAGAGAAAGAGACAAGATTAGAGGTTTATAGTATTTAATTTTATGTTATTTTATAACTGCAATTGAATAGCAAACCCAATTTTTGGGATTACGTCTACTAATGTTGTATTCCGTAGCCCTGTAATTCGGAGAATCCAATCCAGAAGACAAGGGAACTCCTGGATTGAATATTGGGAGAAATTTGCCCACGGGGAGGAATTTTTTATGGAACTAAACCGCATTTGTGTTACATGGAGAGGAAGCCCACGAAAACCTCCCATGGTTAGCCTGACAGACACAGGACTCTCACCCATGATCCGTTTATCACTGAGGATATTTCAAGCCAGCACCGTGGTCGGAGTGAGCCGGATGCAGAATTCATATAAACCACCTGTGTCTGGGATTGGAAAACGGTTCACCTCATTGGAGGGCAAGGCTCTATCCCCTGAGCCATCGGGACACAAATTAGAGGTTTATGAAGAAGAAAAAAGTGAATCCTAATCAAAAGCAAAACAAATGTGTGCAGTTTAAATTAACAGATTTTATAAATAAATTTTTAAACTGAGCATAATTCTCGAATTTCGAAAATGTTGCTTGGCACGTTAGTAATGGATTAAAAATATTAATATTTCAAAAATGTTAAAATTACTGAAAAAAAGATAACTGTCGAAAAAAGCAATTGAAAATTAACGTGGATTTACTAGGGAATCACAGTGAATCGAGTGTGAAAAAAACAACATGGTATTAATTATATCGAAATTAGAAAAATTCTCATGGAAACATTCATGAAAGGACAAGGCTGTCAAAAAAAAAAAAAAAAAAAAAAAAAAAAAAACATTTATCCATAATTGATATGGATTTGGTACAAATTGAGCATATGAACAAGTACATCAAAAATTGAGTAATAGTATGTTTGTTACCTGGAGCATAAATGTAGAATAATTCTTCTCTATGTCACTGCCTTCACCAAATAAAGTCAAGATTTGATCGGCTATTCGAAAGTTGGCAAATTCAGCAGGAACATAAGAGCCCATTTGAGCCATTATTTGAAGTAGGCACACTTGCTTTAGAAAGGTACTTTTTCCGCTCTGTGCAAGAAAATAAAAATTTATTTAAAACTACTGCTGAAACAATAGATAAAAGGGTATCCTATAATTTTGAAATGAAATTTAAAGATTTTTTACAAAATTTTTGAAAAACTTGGCAAATTTAAGGAATTTTGAAACAAAAAATGAAAAGAATCATTTTATTGAAGATGAAATAATTAGGTTTGAATTTAACCGACATAATGAATACAGCTTATACTTTCCTTTTTATTCCTTTTTTTAAACAATTTTCGCACTAAATTTCAAATAGCTTTAAAGTAACGGGAATAAATATAAGCTCAGTTCTCTAGAAATGTTAAAAAAATTTAAGAAACAAACATACTTAGACTTAATTAATTTTTATTAAAGAAAAACCTATTTAATTTGAATCCTATGATTTTTAATTATTTTATTGTCATACTTTATACAATCACTCATCCTAAATTTCAATTGTTAGCTATTTTAAGAAGTGCAACCCATACATGACAATACATTTACTTTCGTTACTAGTAAAGTAAAAGTACATATTTTTATACTTTATAAAAGTACGTAGTTTTATAGTTTAAAATGTAGTTTGTTACATTTTAAATTAGTACTTTTATTTGCATTTTCGTTGTTTTATTTTTGAAAAAAAGTAAAAGTACTTGTAAAAAGAAAGTTGTAAGCAATCATTACTTTTTTCTGAAATATTTAATGTATTTATATGTTCTTTAGCAACTAACTTCTTTTTCCAAACACAGGGCTGCGTAGCCAGATTTCTCAACAAAAAATCAACACCTTTTAAGCGCTCAAAAATTTTTTTAATCACTTCCCCCAAAAAAAATCATAATCAGGGTTATTGCAGGAGAAAAAATTATGTTTTTCCATCGCTTAAAGTTCTTAATTTATGATCATAAAATCAATAAACTTCACATAATGATGATAAAATAACTAGTTTCGAATAAACATTGCAGAGAAAATTGTGAAAATCATGCAATTTTTGTAATTTAGAATGACAATCGGCACGGCAAAGAAAAAATCTGTTTTTAAAAGATAGAAAATTAAGCACTTTTTACAAACCCTGAGTAAAAAGAGCACCTTTAAAGGCTTTCAAAAAACGCAAATCAAAATGAGCACCTTTAAGCATTTTTTAAAATTGCTATGCACACTGCAACAACTTTTAGAATTGTAATTTCCTAAAAAGTAGAGGGTGGCTGGGGGGAGGGAATGTGAAACAGCTTCACTGACTGAAAAGGGTAGCAATTTTGATGAGGAACCCGGAATTGAAGGGGTTTGTGGTGTATTTCAGTCCAGTGTCCAACTGCCTGAAGACTAATCTTTAGATATGCTTGTTTAATTTCAATTTAATCACTTGTGAAAATCTCTTTGAAAAAATGAATTAGTATTCAGAATAGATTTGATCCCTATCTTAAATTGGCGAGAAAGAGGGCGAAAAACACACACAGGGTTTCAGATCAAACCCGTAAAAAAAATTCCCAGTGTTTTCCCTGTACATATTATACACAATATATTAAGAAGAAACACAAAAATAACTGTCATGATAAATGACCTATATTAGTCTAGCTATACTAGTTTTAATTGCTGGAAAAACAAAGAAATAAGAAACAGCTTAATATACTTAAAACAAATAATACTATAGTAAATGAAATAGTACTGTATACTACAGTAAATATATATAGTAAAATGAAATAAATAGCTGAAACATCATCGTTAAATATTCCACAAATTGCGCTTCAAGTAGTCACCACTCTTAAAAGAATTTTCCCAGTTTGGAAGGAAAACCTCAAAATTCCCTGGTATTTTAGGTGATTTTTATATTCCCTGTATCTTCCAGGTTTTCTCTGTGGAATGGCAACTCTGACACATCCTCCCACAAAAAATGCCACCAACGGTGAGGATACCCAAGAACTGTAATAAATACATAAAAAAAAGAGACTTCTCTGCCTTGCTAGACAACTAATTTAAACCAATCAAACAATTTAAGATAGAAAACACTTCCTCTGTTCTGAAATATAAAAACAATTGCACATTTAAAGAGATGTATGTAGTTTTTGCATTTTAGAAATAAAACAAAAGTTGGATTCATTAAAAGCAACAAAGACTGTATGTAATTATTATCTAAATATTTAAATAAATGCATTGAGTCACACCCAATTTGTTTAAATCTGTAAGATTTGTTACTACTAAAAATGGTATGGCAATCACTCACTTTTCCTCCTAAACCTAATAAATAAAAAAATGTATTTTGTAATTTTAAAATGTTACTTTTTTAAAATTTTAATGGGTAAAATTTTTTTTAGCAAGAATTGTTTTTACTATTTATTTTGTGCCGAATTTGTATTCATTTATTTTCTTCTTAATTTAATGGCATGAACATCTTATAGATTTGTGTTTCCCAAAATATTAATACAACAGTTAAAAAATTTTTTTCAATTGCTTATACTATATACAGTTTAAAGTATTATAATTTTTTAATTTTTACCAATAAGTTGAAATAATATAAAACAACTGAACATCATACTAAAGACCTTTGCTCTAGTAGAATTGAACAAATTATTGAAATTGTATTTTAAAGTTTTTGATAACAAACATGAAAGTATTTTTTAAAAAGAAAATTACATGACTTTTCAAATATTTTTTTTCTATTTGCAATCTTCCCATAAAAAAAATTCTGCGATTATCCTTGGTTGCTAGTACATCATCAGTATTCCGATTTTAATCATTAAGTTAGCTTAAAAATTCTATCCCATCAAGCAATTATCTTTCTGACAAATCATTTTTAAATATTAGCATTGATAAATATTACAATTGTCGCTGTTCATTGTATTGCTATTGAAATCAAATGCGTAGCTTTGGAAACGACTAATGTTACAATTTCAGATGTTTCAATTTGATATATCTTGAATTGATATTTCTTGAAAAAATATTTTAATGACATAATAGAAATAAAGTAATGAAGTTTAGTCCCTTAGTGTATAATACATAGCAGTTGTCCTGATAACAGTGCTAAAAAGAAGTTATTTTTGTTCTATTCATAAAAATTAACACAATCATAAACATTGTCACCCTTTTGGCTAAAAATAGACTATTGAGTGAGTGTTTTACTTTATATTTTAAATTTGGGTTTATGAGCTATCGCTGATATAAGAATAATGGAAAAATTTATATTTGCTTAATTATCCTATTTCTTTTATAACATGTAATATCATCGATAATTAATTATAAACTTCGATTAAGATTAATGTTTCTACAATACTTTTAACTCAAAGCTTTAAATATAGTGGAGAAATTAATAACAGTAAGATATTAGCAATATTTTCCAAACAGAATACTGATTTCTTTTTTTTTTTAACTGTGTAATTACATTTTAACACATGTAGTAAAAAAAAGAGAAAAATACCATATTAGCTCCTGTAAGAATAATGAAGTTCATTTCTTCACACAAGAACTGAAATGAAAGTAAAAGAAATTATCTTATCATCATAATATACTGGGGTATAAAATGATAAGCTCAACTTATTCCAAAGAACTACTATAAACCATTGACTGTGAAAGCATATATATATATACATGGATGGTTGGCTGAATGTAAACAATAACAAGATTCCTCAAGCTGCAAGAAATTGAGATAACTTCTGGTGAATACCTTACGAGGTAAAGTGTGTGCAGGTTTGATATAAAAGGAAATTTTATAATTGTGATTTAAGTTTAAATTAACACATAATTTTACCATTCAGAAGAATTTTTTGTAATTCATAAATTCTAACTGATCGTGAACCTAAAACAAATTTAATAAAATTAATATCACATAGTACATAAAATGCAAGGTTGTGAGTGCTATCACTTATTTGGCTGCATTTGCGCCATTATTGTATATATTTACGTCGTTATTGCTGCGTATATATTTATAAAATAGCGCCGTTTGATATTATTTGGGTAGCATTATATCAAGCTTGTGAAATCTTATGAATTCATTAACTGTTTGTTTTGTTGTAAGTTAAATTAAAAGAGAACATTAGATTGAAAGCACTACAAGTATAATAATATTGGATGGTGCGATTTTTTAAGTTTAGGCGTAAAAACCAGTAGGAATCCGGAAGTTTTACAACGAATTTTTAACCCTAGCACCATCTGTGATTAGCTTTACACGGTCAATCATCCTTATATGTACATATANTATCATTTATATATATATATATATATAAAGAAAACAAAAAATATCGTTTATTAGTATTCACCGGGTTCAAATTATCTGAGTTTCACAAAATAGAAATCAACAAATCGAACTTGCAATTTTAACTTCATGCCGGGAATAGTTTCTGTAATTGAATTTATGACTTTAAAAATAAAATAAACGTGAAGATAATGACTGACAGACACATTCTCATTGAACAGATACACCACGTGATTATACAGATACAACATGCTAATACAGTATTAAGTAAGAAGTCTAATTTACTCTGTGCTTCATCTAAAGTAATTGATGAGTCGATTGTTTGTGACAGCAGAGAATTAGATCTTAGTGCAGATATTTATTTTTTGAATGGTAATTTTTTGTATCTGTACATTTTGTAGTTTAAAAAATCAAGACTTCTACAACATGCTTTGAAATTTCAATGATTCTATTTTTTAGTTATAAGTATTCAATAAATAGCCTCCTTGAAAACAAGCATGTGATAAAATCTTGGAAAACGATGAAATGGAGCAGCATTTGCAAAATTTTAAAATTTATCACAAGCAAGAAAATAAGTTATTATTTTTGCAACCACTTCCAATTGAAATGCTTTATTTTTTACTTTACAAAGATAAATATATTTAAGTTAAAAATGTACTAATGCACACAAAAAATAAATATTTTAAAGAAATATGGAAACCAATGTCTTAATATTGTTAAAAAGATAAAATACTTAAATCTTATGGTTCAGAGTGCATTAAAAAAATTGACTTATAATTACAAAATGATAATATTAGCAATTAAATTTCATACCGCATTTAATTACTTTCGACAAATCTAAAGCAGGCTCTGCCGTATAAATCAGCTTGAATTGAGAGTGCTTGTTCGTGCGGAAAATAACTTTACAACATTTTCGTAAGTATCATTCTATTAGTTAAAATTCGTATAAGAGAGATTTAGACCAAACGCGGGCTCAGGTTCGTTTACAGAAAAAAGGTTTCGAGTGGTCTCTGACTCGCGATAAAATTTTCATAAGCTTTTTTATTGCCTATTCTTTTAAACAAACATTTGGTTCAATTATTGAGTATAAAAAAAATATAAGGTATAAAAAATGACAGAGATCTGTTACTTGTGTTTGGTGCTTTTGCTTTGTGAGACTAATAACAGTTGTTAAATGAAAAATAACTTTTGTTTAATTTAAGATTTTGATTTTCTTTTTTTAATTTTTGTTTTAGCTATCTTGGAGTTTCTGTCGATTCAGTTATTTTCTTCAATTATTGTTTCACAAGCTAGTGAAGAAAGGTTCCGACTCCTCGTTTAGTGACAGATTTCCTTGTTTAGACATCAAAAGCCAGATGGCGAGATTGCAAAATTTAGTCTTTATCTGACTTAATTTCAAACTCTAAGTAATCCTATGTATCTCCAGCTCAGTTTGTCTCCAATTGAAATTCATTCGCCACTAGTGGGTTCACACCGCAAAAAAAACAAAAAAAAAAAAACTTATCTCTAATGAGATATCATTTTCCTCATTTCTTTCCTTATGTGCTATTTTTTTCTTCTTTTTCTTCTCTTTGCTGTTTTTGTCTGCAGTGACATTTGAAACCGACAATCGGTCAGCAATAGAGATGTATATTACCTTTGCGAGAGGATATATAAAAGATAATTAGGTAGCATTTCCCACCAAGGAAATATGAAAGCTTGCTTTAAATAGAGACATTTTTTTTAGAACTTAGACACAAAAATATTGTGTCTAAGTCTGTCCAATTTGATAGCAAATTTAATGACACAAATTTTGATTGAAAAACTGTAATCTTAGAAGGGGCTGTGTCCCTTTGTTTATAGAATGTGAGAGGGCTTTTCTGGTTCCGCGGTCCCTGCTATAAACTGCTCCTTAGTATTGTTTGCAGATCGTTCCGAGCCTCCGAAATATCTACAACATGCCCAGATGGAAACCAAAGACCCTCTCCTAAACAATTCAAAAATGCGGTTTACTTTTCCGTTGCCCCTTGAAATAATTAGTAATTAAATACAGAAAGAGTACTTACTACATCATTTGGAACAAAAGTGGTCCCTATTACTTTTTCAACTACAGGATGTCTTCCATTCTTGATTGCTAAGGTATTGGAGAAGTTAGGGCGAACTGCAAAAAAACATTTGAAAGTTTTTATTTATACTTAGAATAGGTAATTGATTGGAACATATAAAAAACTCTGGGCCATTAAAACCTGTACCATAGAATAAAAATCATAGAGCTACCATAAAATAAAAACAGCTACTTGTTATGGAAAGGACATGCATCCTTCATCAGGTAAAAAGAAAGAATGAAAACATTTGAAAGTTTTTATTCAAACTAACAATAGGTAATTGATTAGAACATATAAAAGTCTTAATAATTCAAACCAACTCTTCTATCATATTACAAAATGAAAACAGCTAACTGTTATGGAAAGGACTTGTATCCTTGCAAAGGATGATAAAGAATGAGCAAGAAATTTTAACCAATAAAAGGTAGGAGAAAGGGTAAAAACAAAGACAAAATAGGCAAAGGAAGAAATAGGGGAAAAGGAAATAATTTTATTGAGTCTTTATTTTTATAATTGAGGGAGAAAATCCCCCCCCCCCACTANAAAACCCCCCCCCCCCACTATTTCAGGCATGATTTTCTCCTAATTTTTTTCTCCTACTTTCTTCTTCTTTTTTGCATTGGTTGAAATTTTTCTTTGCTCTTCCCTTATCATCCCTTTTTTTCTCATTTTAACTACCTAATTAAAGTAGGTCTTTCCAAAATATATATTTGTTTTAGAACTAAAATGCGGTGCCTTAAAAGGAAGTATAAAATGTTTTAAGCAGGGTTTGTTGATTTAAATCAACTGATTTTTTTTAATATATATATATTAGTTTACAAAGTTAAAAAACAGTGTTTTAAATTATTGATACTTTTACTATTTTCTTTTCTTAGTTTTAAAATTTATTTTAAATAAATTGCTGTGTTCATTAATTTTAGTTAGCAGAAGTACTTTCTTTCTTGGTGTGTGTTAAATTCCAACACATTTGAAATTACATTTTTAAAAAAACGTTTGATTCTTGAGATTGAAAGTACAGATTAAAGTACACATTTAATGCTGTCCTCATGTAGACTTGCATAGCTGTAGAAAGAAATTAATAAAAATGAATTTTTTTTCAAAAAAAAAAATTCAAATAATGTTAATTAAAATTCCACCTTTTGATTGAAAAAGCATGGAATTAAAATCTACATCATATTTCATTGGTGGAAAATGTATATTTTTAAAGCTTGAGGTTATATTAAAAAGAAATTACCCTAATAAGCCAAAAATAGGAAGAAATAAAAAGGCTAATGAATTCAGATATTTTTTTCCTGATATAGTGTCATTCTTCCCTTTCAAACTCTATTTGAAGCAGTAGAGTTATTAAATGGTATTTTTTCTCATAATATGTTTACAGTATCTTTGACATTATCAGATTTTCTATAAAGAAATTTTGTGAAGAAAAAGAAATTCCAATGAGTACATAGATTTTTAAAAAAAATTTTTTTTTAGCATATCTTATCTATTTTTTTATATAGGATTAAAAATGAATATTTTAATATAAAAATATATCGATTAAATATATATATATATTTTGATGAATGACTACATTTAAAAACACAATCTGTTACATTTATTTCGTCATATTAAAAATCAAGACGAAAAAATCACAATTTTAAATTAAAACTATACTTTGCTAATTGAAACTTTGTTTTAATATTTAAAGAATCTACCCAAGCCAAATTTGCTACCGCTTAGTAGTAGCTTCACAAATTCAACTTAGGTGAAAACGGTAGTTTCACAAAATACTTTGTCTTGAAATTCTATTTTTGTGTCTAATAAGAAATGATAAATCCATATTTTTGTGTTGATTTTTTAGCATTATTTTTAATTTTCACAAATTGTGTCTAAATTTTCACGAAATAAGCACCTTTCAGAAAACCTAGACAGACCCCTGAAGTATTCATTAAATTCTCTATTTCATCTAGTTTTCAAATTTCAATTATGCATTTGTTTTAAAAATGGTTGCTATGCATTCAAAGCTAAGTATTATAATGAAAAACTATTTTAGTACGTTAGAGCTTCTAACATATTGTTTTAATATTAATTTAATTTTGATTAAACCCTTATAAAGTTTTTTTAAATCATAAATTAAAGTTCTTAAAATGTATTTGAATAAAAATCAAAAAAATCTGATTTNGCACCTTTCAGAAAACCTAGACAGACCCCTGAAGTATTCATTAAATTCTCTATTTCATCTAGTTTTCAAATTTCAATTATGCATTTGTTTTAAAAATGGTTGCTATGCATTCAAAGCTAAGTATTATAATGAAAAACTATTTTAGTACGTTAGAGCTTCTAACATATTGTTTTAATATTAATTTAATTTTGATTAAACCCTTATAAAGTTTTTTTAAATCATAAATTAAAGTTCTTAAAATGTATTTGAATAAAAAACAAAAAAAAAAATCTGATTTAAATAAAATAAATCCGATTTAAACCAAAAAAATATGATATTTTAAAAACATTTTTTTAAAAAATCATGAATTCTAGTTTTAAGACTATGACTGTTAAATTACACAATTAAATATGTTTCCTTGCAATTAAATTAAATATACACAATTAAATATGTTAAATATCAAAGATTATACTCCTAGGAGAGTTTATCACTTCTAAAACAATGTATTGAAATTAATGAGTGCTAGCATATGGAATAACTTTTTTATTTTATTCTATATATATTTTTTTATTTTAATATATATATCAATTATATAAATTTTTTTTCAATAGAATAAAAGATAAAGTAAAAATTATTTTAAAAGATTAAATTATTACCATGATCAGAAAGAGTGCAAACATGAGCAAGGGACAAAAGGAAATCAATGGATGATACAGCCTCAGTCAAATTGTATAGACAACCAATGTGATCTCGAATTTCATTTAAAACTTCATTTATGATTCTAAATAAAATAAATATTCAACTTCAAAAATTAAAATTAGCAAAAATTAAAATTAAAGCAAGAAAGAAATACAGATTCAAAAGCATAATGCCACTTTACTAATCAGTGGAAACAATTTTCAGAAAAGAAGTTCATGTATTTGCAAATACTTTGAGTAAATACTTATTCCTTAACATGAACTTCAAATACATTTGTATGTAGGCAACTATATATTTTTAAAGCAATTGTTAGACTAAGCATGAATTTTTTTATATTAAAGTGTGAAGTGTTTTATACAGAGTTTCCACTCAATTTTTAAAAAAAAAAATCAAGGACTTTTCAATGACTTTCAAGGACCTATTCGGTATTACAAATATATGCTAAACATATCAATTAGATTTTACAACTACGTCGAGGCAGAAATTGTATATTTTTAAAGCACAATGCTTATTTGACAACAAAAAAAATTATTTATTAAATTTATCATCCAATAATACAAATGGTTGATAGTTACATTGCTGTTTTCAAATCACTTTGAAAAATTCCAATTGACTAAAAATAAAAAAACTCCAATTGACTTAGGATACTAGCCAACATTTAAAAACTAGCATTAGTGAAACTTTTCTTGAAAAATTTAATGAAGTGAATTAGAATTAATGAAATTGAGTGAATGGATAATGCATATTACAAAGCATAGTAAATAATTGATAAAGTTTGTGTAATTGCACGGTTATTAAAATATAATTACTTTTATTTAATATGTTAGATCAAATTTTAGGTTACAGGAAATGTATATAATTAGATCAAATAACAATATCTATTTAACATATCTGTTTCAATTTTAATAACAAATTATCTATTTTGTTACTTCAGAAAATGAGTAATGTATTTTGAACATATTAAAATCTATTGTAGAACAACATTTTACAGAAAACTAAGACTTACCAAGCTTTATTCTCTTTAAAATATATATATCCATAAAATGAGAAGCGTGATTTTTAAAATGAGGTGAATACGCGTAATTTTCATTAAGCAAAATTTTTAAATTGCATTTATACAAATCTAGATATACTATATGTAAATCAAAATTATAAGAAAGGTGAAGTAAGTCTCAAAGATTACATAAATTACGTATCACGATGCACGATTTGTAAATTGAAATTGAATTGTGGTTTATGTTTCTTAAATCGGATCAATATGAATAACAAATGATACAAAACGCACGAACTAACAAGACGTAAATCACAATGTGTGATACATAAGTCACTTCAATATGAATTCTGTTGCGTGATTAGAAAATAGTTTTCATGTGAATTGTAATCATTATGATGTAAATTGCAATTTGTGAATCGAAAGGTGCTTAATATAGAATAGCTATGAGTGATTCTTAAATCATTTTGATGAGAATTGCAAGTGATAATTTTCAAATCTCTCTTTTGTGAATCACAATGCGTGATTTGTAAACTACTAGAATGAAAATTGCTAGGCATGATTCTAAAATTACTTGAATATGTATCACGTTATATGATTCAGAAATAACTTTAATTGGAATCATGGTGTGTGAATCCTGATGAGTAATTTGCAAATTACTTTAAAGTAATATTCAATATGTGACTCACAAATCACCTTCATTTAAATCGCAATTCATAGAACATTTTATATGAATTCCAAACCATAAATCAAGAATCAATTTAATGTGAATCACAATGTTTATTCATAAAAAATGAAACCTGTAGAACTATAATTTATTTATTAGCAGTAAAAACTAAATGTTAAACATTTGGTTACAAATGATAAAAAATTAATTACCTTTCATGCGTAAATTAAAAGAACAAATAGGATAACAATATTAACCTGTCATAATAACGAAGTTAACACATTGAACGTATTTCTAAATTGATTAAACACTATATATCATTTGAAAACTATGACTACAAAACCTTTTTTCACTGAAGCATTAAAAATTGTATCTATCAGAATTTCTATAATTTTCCTTGAAATTTATTTATTATTTTATTACTGTTTTTTTGTAAGAAAGATTAGTATTATTTTAATTCCTAAAAAATCAAGTACTTTTCAAGTGCCCTATGGCAGAATTCAAGGACTTTTCAGGGCCCTGATTTTCTTTCAACAAAATTCAAGGACTTTCAAGTACTGTGGGAACCCTGTTATATGAAAGGTGAAGTTAACATGAAGTATTCTATATTATACTCTTAGAAACATGATTAAGTCTACCCAACGTGCACCAAGTGCCATCTGATGCCGACCTCCCCCGATCATATCCTCGACTGCTTGGGGCTCGCTCTTGCGGATATCCGTGATAGACCACTTCTGGTGCTTGATTTTGCTAGGGTCCACGGTCTCTTGGATTTGATCTAGCTGTCGCTAGATCCTGAAGGATTGGACACAACAACAACAGAAACATGATTTATCAAAAGAGAACACTGATTAAATTGAAGCCAATCACGAGTTTAAAACCAATTACCCAAATACAATAATTAAATACATTCCTGTAACAGAAACATTTTAATGCTAAAATGAAGGAAAGATTAAAGAGATTTTGATATGTAGATATATAACTTCAAATAATAACTTCATTCAAAAATCAAATAAAAAATTAGCAGTTACATTGAGAAATTAATGGAATAGAAATATTTACATCAACTTTTTCTGAAAATAAATAAAAACCATTATACATTTATAAAATAAAGGAAGTTAAAAAGCTAAGGAATACATAATAACTATAATTGGTAGGAAGATATTTTATAAATATCTATACATTACCATACATGGCAATACCTTTACTTTCGTTACTTGTAACAAAAGTAAAAAATACAATATTTGAGACAAAAATTTCAAAAAAAATTTTTTTTTTTAAAATTCTGTGCAAAAAAATTTTTTTCTTTAAATTTTTTTTTTTTTAAATTCATAAATTTATAAAAATGTGCATTGAAATACTATAAACTAATTATAATGCATGTATTATTTAGATAGTTCAACTTTTAAGTATTTGAAGTCTGTAATTATCCTGACATCAGTGCTTCATCTACTTTAAGACTCTGTCCTTCATGAATTTTCTCTGGGTGTATAAAATTTTTTTTGGAATTTTCGATTTCCTCAAAATATTTTGAGGAATTGTTACTTTTTTGTTTGTACTTGTACTTTTTAATAGTTACTTTTAAATTCATTTTTGTTTTAAAGTACTAGTCTTTTTTACTCATTTCTTTTTAAAAGTAACGTTTCCATGAATGTACACAACTAATGCATAAATTAATTTAAACTTACAAGTCACTCATGAGATAAATTTCATGCAAAGATTCCTGAATACGATCTAAAATGTTAAAAAGGTGAGTTAAAATATTATGACAAAATGAATTCTAAAAGAATAATCTTTTAAAAGTAAAAATACATCATCATAAAGGTGTTTGAATACCTCATTAGATATTTTCACATTTTAATTAATCTATCCTAAATCTTTTCACAAGATCTTTTTTTAAGTGACACACTTGGTAAATAAAACAATATCATGGCAAAAGTGTTATTATCAGAATAAAATAATAATAAAATAAAAAAGGAAGATAACAAAAGAATGAAGAAATATTAAGAAAAAATCGGAACATAATATTTTGTTCATTTCACATATTTTCCCTGGAAAATTTTGTTTCAATTTTTAATATTTGTATACAAATATTCAGATCAACAATTGACAAATCATCAATCAGTTATGTAAAATTGTTTCGCCTAGATGAAAAAGGTAAAGCTAATTAATTTAAATTTTTTACATTAAAAATTCTTTTAGTTACATTTTTTAGAAAGTGGAACATTTAATATAAATACGTTTTAAGCATTTCCTTAATTTGTTTCATTATTGTTAATAAAATATGAAAAAGACTGTGTGTGTCTCCGAGTCGGCGGTTTCTTTGTGCAAATGAAGGTCCCTGCTGAATGTGTGGTTTTATCAAGCAATAGAGACTTGGTTTTTGAATACAAACTTTGGCCTCTATACACAGTGTTGATAAAAGGTGCAAACCGAGGATAAAATTAGATTTTGCTAAAAAGTTTTCTGGGACCATTTTAAGACCCTCTGAATCCGAAAATACCAATATCTAACTGAGGATATCCTCGGTTGGAACGAGATTCTCGATTAACGGATGAAATTGTCAGTGTGTGTCTTTGGTTGCCGGAGCTTGGCAACACACAAACACAACTTTTAAACAAATCACTTTCAAAACTTTTAGTTACAATTATTAATTAAAAAATTTTTTAAAAAATGGACAGAAATTTAAATTTATTATTAGAAAAAATGTTTCTTTTAAACAGTTTCATAAAAAATTACAAAATACTAGTAAATTAAAAGGAAATTAATGCAAGTTTTCAAGTGAATCTTGGAATGATAGTAACAGAAATAGGAATAATAATTAATTTGAATGAAACTAGGAAATTATAAATTTATCAATAAAATATCCAAATACTATAAGGATTTAAGAATAATTAAAAGTAAAACAAGAAAAAATTACTAATATCAGTACAATTAATGGGGAAGTAATGCTATTTTTTAAATGATACAAGTAAATACGAATAATTAGAATAAAACAAGGAAAAAGAATGATAAAAAAGGATAATTAAAAAAAAAAAAAAAAAAAAAAANTATAAAAAAAGTAAAATAAAAAAAAAGAAACAAGAAAAAAGACAAGGATAACTGAAGTGAAAATAAGGGAAAAAAATTACAAAAGTAAAAATAATGTAAGTTAACATAATGACAAGAATAATTAAAGAAGTAATAGTGAATATAATTAAAGAGAAAACTAAAAAAAGAATATTAAAAGTTTACTGAATAGCTTTGATATTGCTCACCATTCAATTTAATCTGAAAAAAATTAATATAATTTCAATATGTCATTAGCAATATTTTCATGTAAATTCAAAAAAACTTCTTAATAATTAAACGCATATTAATAATATTTATGTGAGTATACATTGTAATACATACGTACAACACATAGAAGATTAAATAAGAAATGAAATTACATTGTATCAAAACTATAATTTGTTATGAATAAGTCTACTGAGGAGGATTTAAGTAACAATCAGGAATTTTAAATAACTAGTATTTATTCGGAAAGCAAAAAAATGAGTTATAATGAGAAAAAAAATGAGTCTTATAAGTTTATAAATTTATGTTCACTCACAGAAAAAAGCATTAAATAATGTATGCCCTAAATTTTGTTGCTAAAAGCACAGCATGTAATACTATTAAACATATGCATAATACAACATTTTAGTCATGTTTTGTAGTTTCTTCTGAAACTTTTTTGACTATACAATTGATTGATTTTTATTTATTAAGTAGGAAAAATTTGGAATTATATAGGATTGCATTAAATCCATTCTTAAAATATTGAATTATTGGCAGAAATGTTGCCCTATAAAATTTTTTTAAAACAACCAATTTTATAAAACAAATCAGTTATTAATATAGTCTCATATACAGTTAACACTTGATAATTTGTGTAACTCAGTAGTAATCCAAAAGAGTAATATAAAAATCATTGCAGATAATTAAACAATATCCCTTACATATGTTTTGCATTAAAAATACAGATATCTATTTATAATTACCATTTTTAATAACATACGTTAATTGGAAAAAAAAGTAGAGCTGACAAAATATAAAAGGATAAAAAAATAAATAAAAACTAACATGAGGCAGAATCTAAGCGAGGCCAAGCACAGGGAGCGTAGTCAAATTTTTCAACAAAAAATAAGCCTCTTTAAGTACTTTCTAAGCACTCAGAAAATATTTTTAAGCCTTATATACATTAAACAAATGCAAAATAACTTTCAAAGACTTTACATGATCACGATAAAAGAACCCCTTTTTTGATCATATTAGTCATTAGAAAAATATCAAGAGGTTCTTTGGTTCCATATCAGAGGGTGGAAAATGAAGCCTGAAATTGAGAATATCTTGCAAAATGCACTTTTTAAAAACACTACACACCGTGAAACACTGTGATATAGATTCTCATATAAACAAAATAACATGGAACAGACTTTTGCGTTATAAAATAACAAGGGAGAGAATTACAACGAGATAGAACATTATGAAAATAAAATCTGATAGGGCAGACTTGTAGTGGAATAGAATCTTATCCAAACAAAAAGTAGGAGAAAATCTTAAGAAGAAAAAATATCACGGGATAAATTTTAATTTGACACAATGACAAAGGATGGAACCACCACCTCACAAAGTATCATTCTCATGCAGACGAGATACTATGGAACAGATTTTCTCCAAATAAAATATTAAGTAGACAATGCATAAAGGGTTGAAAAAATATTTCCCTGGAGAGAAAAAAAAATCACATGTGGTAGAATTTAACAGAGAAAAAAAGTATGAAGACATAGAACTTCAACAGCATCATAAGATGGGATCTCACACCGATAAAGCATTGGACGACAAAATCTCTCCAAGGTAAAGTATTGGGAAACAAAATTTCTTCTGAACAAAATACTAATAGAGTTTTATACAATTAGGATTTTGTCAAATAATGGACTGCAGATAAACTGGAAAGCAGACAATCGAGTTACTTGAGTATTTTAAATGTTGAAATGATGTATGATACATAAATTTTTTTAAAATTCAATTGAGAATCAGGATTGAGTTAGTAATTGATAACTATATTTATAAAGTTATCTATAGTTTAAATCTTGAATCAATAATTTTAAAAACAAATCTATAATTTCAATTTTAAATCCAAAGTAGTATGCACAAATTCAGAATTCTAAAACTTGAAATGCACATAAAAGAAGAAAAAAAATCTTACCAAATCTTCAGTAGTGCATGTAATATAGTTTTTATATTTATTAACTTTCAGGAAAATTGTTGGCAATTCTTTTGAAGCAGGAAAATTTTTTAGAGGTATTTGAATAAAAAACCCTCTTAGAGAATTGTATCCAACTTGTAAGGGTAGGCTATACTGGGCCTCTAGTTGCTGCACAATATCTGAAAGGAAAGAATTTTACTTCAGTGACAGAATATATCTATCTATCGATATATATATACATATATATATAGCATAATAAATAAATACCAAAAAAAAAAAAAACACGAAGAAAATTAGGAAAAACAATTTTTATTTATTGCGCATAAGCTGCAAGTAAATAGAACTCATAAAATAAGTTCAAAATGCAGAGAAAACAAGGGAAAAATTACAGAACAACTAAATTGTTTTGAAAAATTTTTTATTCTTTTTTTTTGGAATCCCCCCCCCCGTCAGTTTCTTGTTATTTTTATTATTATTTTTCTTTTTTTCATTGTTCTGTAATTTTCCCCTTGTTTTCTCCACATTTTGAACTTATATATATATATATGAACCAATGGTGGCTCAGGGGATAGAGTGCACGCCTCTCAATGAGGTAAACCAGGTTTGAATCCCAGGCATGGCTGGACGATACAAATTCTGCACAGTGCTGACGAAAAATATCCTTGGTTGTAGACCAATCATGGATTACAGTCCCCTTACTGTCAGGCTAACTGAGGAAAGTTTTCGTGGTTTTCCTCTCCATGTCATGCAAATGTGAGTTAGTTCAATCAAAAAGTCCTCCACAAAGGCAAATTTCTCCCACTGCTTGATCCAAGAGCTCCCTTGTCCTCTATATTGGGTTCAAAATTATAAGGCCATGGAGTTGAGCATTGTTAGCCCTTAACTCTAAATTGGGTCTGCTGTTCAACGACCGTTATAAATATAGTATATATAAACACACACAGGGCTCCAAGAGTTGGAAAAATCTTGGTAGGAAGCAAAAATTTCTGGTAGCCAGTAAAAATATTAGCACCACCCCCATTACTATAGTTTTTTTTCTTCTTTCTAAATTCAAAATTTTATTAAATGCATTCATGGATAAAAATGAAATACATAATAATACTTATTACAACATAATAAAATATGCTGATATCTTTTGAAGGAAATATAAAAAATTTATGCTTAATTTCAAAATATTATGCTTTTATAATTAAATACGTATATTATCTAAGAATTTGCAGTTACACAAAAGGCTCAATATAATGAGTTTCTTATGCAAATTTATAAATTGGAATGCCAGTGTGTTAAAACTTTCTGGACCTCAGGTATCTGAGAAATTTCGAAGGAAAATTCCTAAATAAATAGCCTTGCACCGCATAGGTCTAACCATGCCCTCCATTGCTCCAGGCCGGGGTTAAAAAAAGTTTGGGAAACACTGCGCTACAGTGTAAAAATAAGATACAATAGGATTTTTATTCTGATGATTATGGAAAACATAGGCGAGATGGGGAAAAATATCAATGAAGCTTAATTCTCAAACCAAATATTTCACATAAAAAGTTTTAAAAAAATGTCAGGGTGGCCACTCAAATCAGGTTTAATTTCCCTGACTTTTCCAGTAAAATTTTTGAAATTTCCAGGTCAGCGTGCTTTTTTCCCCCTGCTAAAGTGTAGTATTTCATTTAAAATGTTATTTTTTTTAATATATCATCTTGAATAGATGTGGAGGAAACAATATGTTTAGCTTGCAGAAAATAACACTTTTAATTAATAATCTTTTTTTTTTTTTCCTTAAGTGTTAAATAGTTTTTGCACAAAATGTACCAAATAGCAATGACTCAAAACAACCTTAGATAAGTACTGCTTAATATATTTTTATTAAGCAAAAGAAAATAATTCCAGGTGATTAGAAACTAATATATTTTTATATTTATTTCAATATAGAGCCATTTCCTACTCCATTTTACACAAACAATGCTCTTTATAAAATTCATTGAAATAATTTTCTTTAAACCAATATCGTAAGTCAAATGTTTAAATAATGTTGTTTGTTTCAAATTAGCACTATTATTTGAAAACGTATTCGGTATTTGTAAAGGAAAATTTTTCAATTTCTTGTTGAATATTCTATAGAGAAAAAAAAACTAGATGAAATTCTTTAACTTTTATTCTTTTTTTTTTCCTTTCTTAATGAAAATTAAAATATATTAGGAATTCCAATCTAACATGGTTTCCTAGCTTAGATGATTTAATTGATTTTGTTTTTACATCTGGGCAATTCCATGGTGCCGGAAAAAAATTTATATTAATTTCTTAGAAAAACTATCTTATGAAACAAAAGTTTATAATCATTTAATATTTAATATATTACAACCTAACGAAAAACAATTTGTTTTCTAAAAACTGATTATTATAAGTTCAAATTAAATGGATTAAATTGTTGCTGTCGGATGTGAATCGCGAGAAAGCAAAAAATGATTACTCATTTACAAATTGTCTAAACTTTGTGAATTTGTTTGTAATTTAAATGTAAACGTGACTGAATTTTGAAGCTGACATTTAATTGAAAAATTCTATGCAGTTGTCTGTGAAATATGATGCATAATTAATTTGAAATTGTTTACTTCAGTGTCAAAGGAACATTTCGCAGATTAGATAGAAATTTAAGTTAATGATAACCATTATTATGACTGAAAATTACTTTATGCTAATTTAATCCAAATGACTGAAAATTACTTATACAATTTTAATCTTAATGCTATAAATATTATTTTTTAATTAAATAGCTTCTTTAAATTTAAATTGTCTTTGATTTCCAGTAGGAATGATCAGATTAATATGTTTTATAACAATGTCCATATCATGAAAGTTAGTTGAAAAATCACATATTTTAACTATGCAACATATATTAACAATATAAATAAAATTCCCATTTAAGCAATATTTTCTTAAATTTAATAATTTTTAAAATGGGAAAAAATTCACTATTTTTATATACAATAAAAAAAATTCTATTGAAAATAAAATAATCACTGTACATTAAAAAGGGGGAAAAAACAATTTTTTACTGTATTATAAGCCTATAAAAAAATTTTCTGGGCACAGGAAAAATGATAATAATAGCTTTATTTATTGTCTGCATCAAATTAAATAATCTTTTTGTAGCAGACAATATTTATCAATATGACTTTTACTTCTATTTAGTGGCATAGCAGTGAACAAGAAAGAGCATATGTCCGGTTGTAGCTTAAAAGATGGGCCAAATTTTTCGGAAAAAAATTTAACATGAATTCTAGAATAAATTTGTATCTCTTTTTAAGTCTCTCCAGTTTCATTGACCAATTACAGGCCCAATAACTAACTAATAATTTTTATCCCATTAACCTAAAAATTGTATAGGATGTGAGTTATTGTTGTAGTTTGCTATGCAAGTAGGTTTAATATTTTTTCACAAAATTGTTTCTTTTTTCTTTACTCAAAAAAAAAAAAAAATAAACAACTACAGAATGTTCTGAAATTATTTTTTCTCTAAATACACAAATGTTTCAAGCTCTAAGCAAAATGATTGATTTAAAATGTTCTAAATGAAATTAAATTGTTACTAAAAAAAATTAAAACTGAGATGCTTACCTCAAATAAATAAATAAAATTAAATTAAAAAAGTATATTAAAACTTCATTGATCAATTTTAAGTTATAATATAAATAAAGGTTTTCAAGGTTTTCCAGGTGGGTGGCCACCCTGAATGTACTTGCTACTAAAAATTTATGGCTCATCAATTTTTACAGACATTTCACGACGGACGTCTATATACATATACTTTTTGTATAAATTAGAAATAATTTTAAAATTATTTAACTGTTTCATAATAAATAAGGTTATTAAAAAGTGAAGATAAGGGAATATCACAAATGCTCAGTCACTTTATAACAGGCATACACTATAAACTGTAAGCAATCTTTTCCTTTTTCATTTACTTAAAAAAAGTTTAACAATAAATTTCAAATTGTTAGGGCTGCCAACTGTGTTAAGAGAAATTAAGTTCATAATTATGTTGAGAATTTTTTTTTTTTACCTGAAACATCATTCACTGATTCGCAATAAGCCCTTCGAGCCACATCAAGTAGGCCATTAATATTAGGCTGGAAAAAGAAGTATGTTTTCAAAATAAATATTTAAAACAAAAAAATAAATAAATAAGTATTTCAAAATTTGATAAACTTTAATGCAAGGCCGGGGTAGCCTGGTTGGTAGGGCACTGGGCCCATGTCCAAGAGTTCGATCCCCGCCGGCCGAAGACTCTCCGTGTAGTAAATGGTGACTGCTGCACGTTAAATCTGTCAAGTCACAAAATCCTCCATGTCCCCATAACAATAAATATCTCTGGGTGCACTGATCCAGGAGTTTCCTTGTCTTCCGAATAGGTTCAAAATTACAAGGCTACGGAGTTGAACATTCGAAGTCGTAAACCCAAAAATTGGATCAGCTGTTCAACGACGGATATGAAATATAAAATAAAACTATAATGCAAGTCATGGTGGCTCAGGGGATAGAGCATTCCCCTCCCACTGAGGTGAACTGAGTTTGAATCACGGCAATGGCTGGTCAATTCAAATTCCGCACCCAGCTTGCACTGACCACAGTGCTGATATAAAATATCCTACAATGGTAGACAGATTTGACTCCCCTTGCAGTTAGACTAACTGTGAACGGTTTTTAACTCCATGTAGGATAGTTCAATTAAAAAGTCCTTCGCGCAGGCATATTTCTCCGAATACTTGATCCAAAATTACAAGGATACTGAGTTGAACATTGGCAGTTGTAAACTGAAAATTCGGTCTACTGTTCAACGATGGTTATAGATCAAGAAAGAAATTTGTTAAGTCTTTAAGAAACTGAAATGGTGGTAGCAAAACTGTGAAGATGAAATGTATTTTTTTATGTTTTCACCACAATGTTTAATTTTATTAACCCCAAATATCTGGTTTCAAAATTTCAATTTTAAAGTTAAACATAACTTCATAATTAGATTATTAATGCAAAGCTTCCCTTACATTCTTAAAGACTACATGAACCCTGTTAAAATATTAAAATACAGATGTTTACTTCTATGAGCAGAAAATTCTTATCAAAATAATGATCCAAATGCAACACAGTATAATTGATGATAAAAACTTCATTAGCTACAAAAATATGATGATGAAAATAAAAGTCTACATACTTCGAATGTTAAAAAAGAGGCACCCATTCTCGAGACTCGATAAGAGTGAATGACTTGCAGCATTAATTTTTGAACTCTCAAAGCAAGTCTACTTTTATGGTTTCCATATTTTTTTAGTGCCGTGGTGGCCTAGGGGATAGAGCTTTCACCTTCTAATGAGGTGAACCGAGTGCAAATCACAGGGATGGCTGGTCAATACGAATTTTGCATCCAGCTTGCACCCACCTCAGTGCAGACATATCCTCATTGTTTGATGGATTATGGGTTAGAATCCTCTTCATGTTTAGTTAGGTTAGAATCTTCTTAGTTTTCCATGTGACACCAGGCTAACCTTGAGCAGTTTTCCTCTTCACGTGGGTTAGTTCTATCAAAAAGTCCTTCACAAAAGGCTGATTTGTCCCTATGCTTGATCTAAGACTACCCTTGTGTCTGAGTTGAACATTGTAGCCTTGTTATTTTGTTCAAAATTGCAAGGCTACGAAGTTGAACATTGATAGTCATAAACTCAAAAATTGGGTCTGCTGTTCAACATTGATAATAAAATAAAATAATAACACTAGTACTATGATTTATTCAAGTATAGACTGTTTATCAAATACAGAAAAATATAGAATCAGTACGACCTGGTTTAAGATGAAATACATTCAGTAATAAATCATTAGTTCCTCGAATGATTTATTACTGAATGTACTTCTCCTAATTTAAAGAATATTATAACAATTATATAATAATTGTTATAATATTCGTTAAAAGAAATTGAATAAATTTTGAATTAATTAACATAAAATTTCAATTTTTATCAATACGAAACCTTTTTTTTTCTTCTTCAATTTGGTTTCTCTAACTCAGTTTTTTATTAATTTTCTGGAGAATTTGATTACTATAACGACTTAAAATAATGAGGACAGAACTTTTATTATGATTTAAGCTAATCATAAAGAAAATGTTTCTTTCGTTTTTTTTTTGTTAAATTTTTCTCTGAAGCACAGATTGAACAAAGCAAAATTGATTTGAGTATTAATTCAAAAACTGATTTGAGTGTTATGTGACATTCCTATTATGTTCCTTTGGATAAGATATGAAGAATTTCTGTTCATATTTAGAATGGGAGAAATAATTTTGATATTTTTTCCTTGTTATGTACTTTTTTACATTTTTGTAGGACTGGGATTCGTTTAAACTGCCATACATTTCAAAATTAAGCCGAACAATGTCTCAAGAAATTTCATAGCAGTTAAAGTAAAAATAATTCTCAGATTTTCACTCAAAAAGTCTAGTATCTCTTTAAGGGGTCGCAATACCGGAGGGGAAATTTTTCATTGTAAATTTTCTTTTGTCCCCATAACTAATTTAAAATGCAAAGTGAAGAAAAAGTGAATTTACACAAACTTAGAGTAAGTCATGAAGTTTTAATCACTGAAATTTTTTTTCCTAAATATCAAAATGCATACAAATTATTGGTAGAGAACTTCTCCATAGCATAACCCTAAATTATCTTCCAGTGCTTAATTTTTATTTCGATATTTTAAAAATGTCTTACCAGTATTTGAAACTTTATGGTTTACTCTAGGTTTGTCCTGAACTCACTTTTTCTTTACTTTAAATTAGTTATTGAGGAGAAAGAGAATTTGTGAAGTAAAGTTTCTCCCCACAGTATGGCATCCTCTTCACCAGAGTAAGCTCCCAACACCAAAGAAATATGCTGATCAAAAAGCAAACTATACATTTCTTTACCAATAAAAGCTAAAAAACTTCTCAAACATAATAAATAGTGGAACAATCAAGCAACTTTAACCATCTTTTAATTGTCCAGTAATTTGTCATAATAGTAAGATAGGAAAGTAAAAGATGATTATTGAAATAGACTGTCTAGTCTCTATCATAAATCCTAATTTATAAGCCAAACTTTCCTTAAATGTTCAAACAATTTATAATTTTCTATATTAAATGAAAAGCAAGAAAGTTGAATAAACAACAAAAACTCACACACTGTTACAGGATTGCACTCAAAAAATTTCCCTGTACATATTATACACAATATATTAAGAGAAAACACAACAATTTCTCTGCTCTTGTGTGAGCTGTATTGGGCTAAGTATATTTATTAGTTTTATTTGCTGGAAAAACAGCTGAACATACTTAAATAATGCTATAATAAATGAAACAGTTTAGTATGGCTGAAATATCATCATGGTTAAATATCTCATAGATTACGCTTTGAGTGGTCACCCTTTTTTGAAAGGCAAAAATAAGAAACAAAATTCCCTGCATTTTCCCTGTTATTTTAAGTGATTTTGAAATTCCCTGTATTTTCCCGGTTTTCCCTGTTTAAGCTCATAAAAAAAGAAACTGTAAGATTTAAATTTTAATGGCCAGTTTCAATTAAGAGTCAATAAAAAAAAAGTAAAATCAGTTTTCTAAAATTGAATCTGTAGTTATAAAACTATTTTTTTTAAAGTTCTATGTTAAATAAAAAGTTAGAAACATTTGTAAACCAAAAAAAAAAAAAAAATTNGTTCAACAATTTACTTTAACAGCAAAACATTTTTGCATGTGCATATTGAGAACACCTTTCTCCCAACGAGCATCTTTGTGGATAACTAAACCAATCTTCAGTTGGAGATCAGCAAATCTTTCATCAGATAAAGCCTGAAAATGTAGCAGAGAAAGACTCAATTCGTTAATGTCTTGATAATATTTGAACTAAGTAAATGAAATGCATAAAATCCAAAATATTTATTAATTTCATTAAAAATTGTTTGTGCAACAATAATATAGACTGACGGTTCTACTTCCATTTTAATCAAGAACAATACAATTAAAAAAAATAAACCTTTTATCTGTCAAGTTATTTTGATGATTTGGGTACATAAATTGTCAATTTTTCTTATTGCATAAATCAAATGTTTAGTACAAAGCAAAATATACTTAGTAGTTAAAAATTGATATTTTGAATGACATGCATAAAAATTTTACGGTTTTGTAGCCATTGCATATTTGCTTGAGGTGGCTGCCATTCAGCTTGGCAATGGTAAAGTTCACTTATAGTTTTATCTTGTAAAAATTTAAAAATTTTTTTTTTATTTAATTTTATTTTAAAAAAAATCATCTATATAACGTTCCAATGAACTGGGCGCCATTTTGCAACCAAAAAAGTGCCCCACACTTTGAACATTAACCTCTGTCCTTTGAAACTTTCAGTAAAATGTTGTAATCTATTGTTCTAAATTGCATCGAAATTATCTTTTCCCGAGATAGATTCGGGTGTGACAAAGAGATGAAGCCAAAATAAACGTGGATATATATTCAGATATAACAATATGATGCACTAAAAAAAAAAATTACCCCGAGTAATACTCAAACGTGACATTTTGGAGCACCAGTACTGTTACCCAAGATTATTTCGGACATGACAGTTAAAAGGTTAAATATATGATTTTATGCAATTATTCACAATTGAAAAAATTGACTTTAGAAAAGAAACAATTTTGTTTCTATCTATCTCTTATTCATTAGTAAAATACTACAACTTAATTCTCGATTGTTGTCATGAAACCTTCAAATATAAAAATGAAATTTCTCTTTCGTTTGAGTTTATTATTATTTCATAAAATATAGTGTATCAATATTTTGGTAGTTTTCATTCTTTTGTTTAGAAAGGGGAAAATTTTTTAAATTTTTCATTTTCACTTTTATTCAGATTTAACTTTAAGCTTATGACTTATTTACTGTACTAATAATTAAACATAAATTTCTAAAATTATCTTCTGAGAAACATAAAATGTCCAATAAAACAAAAGCAAATCCAGCAATTAGCAAGGAAAACAAGAATCAATTAATAATTTTAAATATAGAGCAAACAGAATGATTTTCACTCACAAAAACATGCTGAACAGAGAGAACAGGTTGCTTAGTCAAAATTTAGATACACAAATGCCAGAACTGGAAATTCTGCAACATTAGGTATGAAGTCCTCAGCTACAATAAGACAAATGAAATGATTTTTTTTTAATGAAGGTAATACTTTTTGGATTAATAAACTTACTTCATAGTAGGTTTGGAATAGAGTATTCTTATAGGAAGAAAGACAATGTGACAAAGGCTTCACAAGTTCCAGAGAGTATTTTAAATTTATGACATTGGCAATTTTTTGTTCACAATTGCGAACATTATCTTCCTTGGAAATTTGTACACACAATGAAAGGAACTGCTCAGTGTCGACAAACTTGCTGATTACGGACTGCAATAAAAAGGAAGAAAGTCAGAAAAAACTCACATGTAAAATATTGATTAAGGCATCTCTTTAATCAATTTTTTTGGCATGTGGGCAAAAAGGATATTAAAATGCATGCAGTTGGAAACATTCTTCAATACAAGATCTGAAAACTTTCTCACTTCAGAGCTCAATCAGAACTTAGCAAGTAGTCCAAATCGGGGAAGACAAAATTTTTTTTTTAAAATTTGGAGCACCATACCACAAATACTTTTACAATCCCTAAAGCAAACCAAAATTGAGAAAACTCGTTCGTTTTTGGTTCTAATGCATATTTTTATGTTTTAAACTATTTTCACGTAAAGAAGTATTTATAGCATTAATATTGAGCTATTCTCTCTTTCTATATATAGAGCAATTTTTATTGAGTAAGTATAGCTAGTAAGATGGATACAAAAAAAAAAAAAAAAATCTAGTAGATTTTACAAAATAATTTCAAGATTTACTAAATATTTCATACATAGAGAATTTCATAATCATCAAAATAGAAAAACTGCATTATTTTCCAGTGTTATGATAGACATTAAATGAATCTGCAATGTTATGTATTATGTTTACTCATAATTTCGATCAGTAGTGGGCATTTAATTCAAAGATAATTAAAAGATTTCTTAATTAATTTAAATAGGGTATACAGAAAGAAAATAAACTGAACATTTTAGATCAAAAGAAAAGTTTTAAACTGATTTTTATAAATGAGACTTGTTTCATTATTTACTAGTAATACTTATTTAAATAGTCAAGCAAGCAATAATAATAAGTTCAAAAATGTATTAAGAATGTTTTTTTTAAGGAAATTTACTCAATTTTAGGAATCTGAGTGAACTATTAATTAAAATATAGATGCAAATCCTAAATATTTTGATTAATGAAACTGATTATTTTAAGAACTACATTAGTTTTCTTAGAAAATGAAAGGTTCTAAACAAACTCAAATCAGAAATATTAGGACAAAATATTTTTTTCCAGAAAAATTAGAAATATGAGAACAACTACAAACTCTGATATACATAAAGCTGCATTATGGTTAAATGAATGAAAAAAGTAGTTTATACTTTACTTATTATTAAACAGTGTTAAAACATAATTGAACTACTTTATATGCAACACAAGTTATTTTAGTACATTTTCGTCATTTCATAATTTTCAAGTATTTTTTAGTTTTTGTTACTATAAAATCTATACAATATAGTGTCATAGTATTGCTTCAGATTGTAATACATCAAAAGATGAAAAACAAATGAATTAAGAAAAATAAAACAAGAAATGAACATTTCATTACACTTAATTAATACTATTATTATAAATTGCATACAGCTAAATAATGATATTAATTAAATACTGATCACTTTTCAACATATATACTACTAAAATGAGTTTTAAATATTGAGTGTTTATTTTGCCTGTTAATTTATTGAAAACATGAATTTATAGTTAAATATTGGGAAATACGTTGGAATAGTTTAATTTATTTCAATTAATTCAACATATTGTTTAAAAAAAAAAAAGTTTTTTTTCCAAGTCTGGAAACCTTAATAAAGATTGTCTGGGACAATATTCTCTTGAAACAGTTTTTTGAAAACAACTGAAAAAAATTGGCTGTAATAAGCATGATTTCTACCAAGACGGTTAGAACAAGTTAGTTTTACCTGTTTTTTTTCCTTCCAAGCCTGGAAACCTCAGCAAAAATTGTCCGGAACAAAGATTCCAGTGTTCCCGTTCAATTTCAGAAAAAAAAATTCCCTAACTTTTCCAGGTAAATTTCAACGAAAATTTATACCATATTTTCATCAGAAAACTTTCATTCTTTTATTTGGAATGTGAAATATTAGATTTTCTATGTAAAAAAAAAATACTATTAAAGGAAGGGAACATTTCAATTTGAATGAAATGTGAAATTTTTTCAACAAATAGTTGTAATAGATGTTAGAATTATTTAACTTGAATATCAATAACTGATTACTGTGACTAACAATTTTAAGATTAGTTATTTTCCAGTGATGGTATAGGAATACTCCAGGTTTCGAGTTAAAATAAAATTTTCCTGACAATTTCAAGTTTTCCCTGATCACCCTATCCCGTGGAAACCCCGAGATTCTCCTGAAACAGTTCTTTTGAAACAACTGAAAAAAATTGGCAGTAATGGGAATGATTTCTACTAAGATGGATAGAACAAGTTGGTACTGCATTCCGATGAATTCTCTGAATAAGTTTGATGAGAGAATTTATTGACAAATATGCCCCATTTTAGATCTATCCTTGCATTATCACAAAACACAAGACAGAAATCATACCTTTAAGCTGTAAAATAATTCTTCTTCTTGAATTAGTTCAGATATGCATTCCAGACGTGTATTTATGGTGTCAAAATCACAAGGAGGCTGTAAAATATTAGCTCTAAGCATGCGATCACCGCCTGGAGTGAGAGTGTGGTTTAAAACACTATAGAAACAATGTTCCTTTCTTCCCATTTCATTGGTCACCAATTCCAGGCAGCGGGCTGTTGTTGTACCTATTAGAATATCATTAGTTTAAAACAAAATACAACAAATACTTTTACATATTTTTTAGTTCAAAAACAAATTTAATATTCTAAGTAGAGAAAATATGAGTTTTAATACAAAGAATAAAAAGATTTTGGTCCACTATATAATTATAATTTTAGTATCGACCTTTAACTTTTTTAATCATTTTGCTTTTTTAATTATAGATATTTTATGTTTATTATGCAAGCATATATTTTTAATAACTCATGCGCATATACAGGGCGTCCACTATAGTACTTTAATCGTAAGTTATGCATGAAAAGAAAAATCCAGAGTCTAATAATTTATAACAAAAAATGCATAGAATATAGTAGGTCATAAAAAAAGGAGGATGGAAAGAAGTTACAGAATTCATTCATGGCAATGATGAAAACGTATTTGTCTTTATTGATGAGAGTTTTTTTGTTTTTTGTTGTTTTAGAACAACCCCATAACCCTTAAAACGTTGGATTGTGGTTAGTATTGAATGCAGACATATCACATAATAAAAAATATGAGCATATATTTCAAAATGCAACTTATTATAGTATAGAGAGTTTTCTCATAAAGGAGAAACTTCCATCAGTTTACATTAACAAATTTTATGAAGTTAATGTAAAAGAAATCTTTGGAGACAGTTCTTTTGCATAATGACAACATTATACAGTGGAACCTCGGTTTTACAGTGCGCGTGACCTACCCTATTTTCTGCTGGCCCGTAAAAACTGCCTACACCGAAAATGTTACATTTTCCCGAATTTTACATTACCCTTTTTAAGAAAATACCACCTTATACCTTTTTCTAACAGATCAAAATTATTATTTCTTGAAAACTCACACAAAGTTTTTCTGGGTTTTCTATTTCTTTTTCATTATTTTTGAAGAGGTTTGTTTATTAGCTCTTTGACTTACCTTCTATTCTATTTCATATATTTATTAGCTTTTCTGACATTCTTTCTATTCTATTTATTGTCCTTTTGTCTGTGAGAAAGGAATTCCCCCTTGCGTCAAAATCGGAAGAGTGTCGAGATAGGCAAAGGACGGGAAGGATGGTTAAAGGAAGTATGGGAGCTTAAATTGTAAAACTTGTGAGTAAATTTTCTTCCAGCGAGCCTTTGAATCTCGGGATTACCTGAACATTTAAAGAACGTTACATTAAACAAATGGTTAGCATTTCTTTTCTTGATTTCGGTGACCTGAAAAATGCTTCTAAAGCATATCATAAATGTTCCGAATTTAACCCTTACAGCACTCGACAGAGCAGTCTAAAATACATTACAAATGGGTATAATAAAACTTCTGGTTGGATAACCAGAACATTGGCCCTAGGAAATATAATTGCATGTGTTAAGATCTTCCAAAGTCGATGACATGTACATAGACTGTAAAGATTCCATTACATTTTAATATCTTCATTACCTGATTTAATGCTTGCTCGTAATGAAAATGAGCAAAAAATATTGGAGTTGATCTTATAAGTGCATGAATTTTTTAAAAATATACTCAGATCTTTTCTTACCCTAATTTTATGCTTCAGCGTTTCATGCGTTTTTTTTAAAACTAATCTGATGGAAAACATATAATCGAGGTAACATTGTATAAGGGAGTAAACATTATTTCTATCAGCAGAATAGTGCTCTCTTGCAACATAGCAGAGATAATCTGCCTAATATTCTCTCCCCTCCCCCCCAAAAAAAATGATTAACCCCCAAGCTCTCTGAATCTTAATCCAATAAAGGAAATTATAAAAATTAAGTCACTAGTTCAAAGTACCAGTAACTAGGATATTATTAGTCAGTACAAATTTTCACTAGTGTGTTTACTTGTTTCTGTAAAATTTCATTTTTAAATAAGTGAATTTAAATAAGAAATTACAATACAACTATGCAATTTTGGTAATTGTGATGAATATTCTACTTTACGACAACACTAACAAAAAAACAAAACTAGAAATAATAACAATAAAAAAACATATCACCCTTTTACATCAATTGCTGGTTGGGGGGATAATTGACAATTATTTCATAATGTCACATTTTAACAGTGCCGGACCGACAAATATAATAAATATAAACAAAATATAAAAACAAATATAATGCACAAATTTTAAAAAAATTCGCACTTTTATAAAAAGATTATGAAATGAAATTTCTATATATGCTGTGCTAATTCTAAGAATTTGTATGAATAACTTAAGGTTATATGGAATGATATTAATCCACTTTCAACAGTAATTTTGTACATAGTTCTGTCGTAAATAAAATCATAATGCTTTTAACCACACTATGCATTTTTTGTTTGAAGCTGACAGTCAATGAACATGTTATAAAATATGAAATGTTTACAGTTTTAATGCTTCAAACAATACATAAAACCCAGATTTCTAAATATTTCTAAAATCGATTCATTACATATAAGTAAATTTTTTAATATAAGTGTGGTCCCCAAGAAAATAATTTATTTTAATTTTTGCTGTTCAAAATTGTTGAACAATTTAAGTCATTTTACAAAAGGAAAAAAAAAATGGCTACAGTAAGGTAGGTAAAAGCATAAACCAATCATTGTAATAGCTTTACAAAACTATTGGTTAGATCTCCAAAATTCTGTGGAACACTTTAAGATCTACAAAGACAATAGAACCAGGTTACAACAAGTAATATACTTACTTATCATGGTAGTGTCTGCGCTGGTACAGTAAATAATTTTCAAAGAATTCAAAGCGTAAGTCATATTTTGTTTAAATTCAACATATTTTAACAAAGCAGCACTTGCAGCTAAACAATAATACCTACCAGATAAACAAAAAATGTTTTAATATAAATGCTCATGTAAATTAATAAATGCAGATCTTCAAAAATCACAATATATCATAACATCTGCTACAATGAATGGATGGCAAAAACATAGCCACCATAGAATCGTCCATGATGAAATCATAACTGAAAAAAATATTGTGAAATATACCAAAATTTTCAATTAGTAACTAATTAAAATACAAGATGATGTTCTTATTTAGAGATATTTCTTGTTGAAAATACTTTTGCAGTACCCTTAGAAGTAATTATAACATTCTTTACGTCTCATTTTTGTAAGGGATAATTAAAAACAAATGCTGTTTATATTTTAAAGATTCTGCACATGCTTGAAAAAATATAAGTTGATGCATATTTTTAAAAGTTTTAACCATTAATTTGAAAAATTTAAAATTTGTAAAAAAATGAAAATCAATTTATGTATTCCAATGAAATAAAAAGGAATCTAAGTGTTAAATGCTTTCTTTTTCTTGTTAACAAAAGTACTCTTATACAAGAGGCACTTTTATTACAGAACTCATTAAAATTTTATAATACCTTTTTTCCTCCCTTTATTTGGATCTAATAAATATATCTTTGATTCATATTAAACTAAAGTTTATCTTTAATCCTCTGCATGTAGAAAACTGCATCTTGATGCTTTAGACTTGCATAGCCGTAGAAAGTAATTAATAAACATGAATTTTCTTCACAAAAAAATTACAAATAATGTTAATTAAAATTCTACCTTTTGATTGAAAAAGAATGGAATTAAAATCTACATTGGTGGAAAATGTATACTTCTAAAGCTTGAGGTTATCTGAAAAAGGAATTACCCCAATATGGCAAAAATAGGGTTTAAATTCTCTATTTCAATTAGTCTTTAAATTTCAATCCTGCATCTATTTCAAAATGGATGCTATGCATTCAAAGCTATGTATTACAATGAAAAATTGTTTTAGGTAGTTAGAGCTTCTTAAATGTTGTTATAATATAGTTTTAATATTAATTTAATTTTGATTAAACATTCATAAATTTTTTTTAAAATCATAAATCAAAGTTCTTATAGTGTATTTGAATAAAAAATCTAAAAGATCCGATTTAAAGCAAAAAAATCTGATTTTTTAAATTTTTTTAAAAAAAATCGAAAAAAATCACAAACCCTGCTGCACGACTATGTAAAATTGATAAATTTGAATGAATAACAATTAAATTTTTTTATTTTAGTAATACTTATTTAAATATTAAAGCAAGCAAGAAATAATATTTACAAAAATCAGGAAAAACTGGCAAAACCATATAAAGTTGGAAAATATGTAACTGGTAGTTTTTAAAGAATGTAATTTTGAATTGAATGTAAGCAGTTGTAATTTTTTGTTTGTTTCATCAGTCTTTTCCTTATTATCAGTCTAGTTTGCTATAACCATTATAGCAACAATTTCTGCTATACGAAAGCACAATATGTTATACCTGTAAGAAAAATATAATATCATACCGCAAATAAAGGGAAATGAATCGGTAAAAAGTTCCCAAAGGAGTATAAATTAGTGAACTAAATTAAATTGGCTAAAGACTAGGATAAACAAAATGTTAGGTAAGGCAATATTACTAGTATTTTTAAAAATAAACTGCCTTTTCATTTATTTAACAAAATTAAATTCTACATTCCGATTTAATAGAAAATAATTCTTTTTACATTAAAATTTTTATATTAAACTATAAAATTGTATGCATTATTGTAAAACATTAACAACATTTAAACATTGAAAAACAATATTTGTAAGATTGACTGTTTGGTGTGAGATTTGAAAGATAGTAAAACAACATTTTCCATCATAAAATGATGGAAAATCTTGTCCTAAGAATGTTTTACATTACATGTTGGTTGACCATCATATCATAAAATATCATCTTCCAAAATGAAATGATGGAAGTTTGTTGGCCCAAGAAAATCCACCACCACATGATGGGAATTGTTAGATGTTGGTTACCATTAAATAGAGTTGAGCCAACAAGAAACCAACATAAACCATCAAAATATCTTGATGGTCGAATCACAAATTTTGTCTTGGGTTAATTAAATTAAAATTATTATTAAAATTAAATGCAAGGTAGTACTATCATTAAAAATCTTCGAATTTCAGAATTTGTTGATAGAAACAGATTAAAAAACAAAATTACCTTCATAATCCAAATACAGTCGAACTCGTTTATAACGAGCACAAAGGGACCGTAACATGTACTCGTTAAACCCGAGTGCTCGTAATAAACGGGTCCTTAAGGCAGACGTGCAACCAGAAGAGGGGAGGGGCTTGGGAGGTCAAATGATTGAGTTGACTTAAAATTTAATTAATACTTACTTACTTTAATTACATTAATTAATTTAATTAAATATTTATCTTAATTTAGTGACAACTAACCCCTCCCCCCAAACCAGCAAAAAATTTCTAGTTGCGCTACAGTCTTAAAGGAAAGGAAATATAAACGGAAAGAAAAATAAAGGAAAAGATTCTTACCAAAACATTTATTTTTTTCATTAATCTACATATTTAAAATAGTTTGTCAGCTTACTTTTAACACGCGCATTTCATATCATTTTGAAAAAAAGATAAGACAGAAAGACTAGAAAGATGAGAAAAAAGATTGCCAGACAGAAAAATATTGCTCGCTAAAACCGGGTCTTACTCGTTAAAAGCGACTTCTGTTCCATAGACTTAACATTGATCCAACCAAATATTCTCGTTTCCCTCGTTAAATCCGAGTTCTCGTTAAATCCGAGCTCGTTATAAACGAGTTCGACTGTATTTCAAACAGCCTAAGTATGTCCTATCTTTATTACTTCAGATATTGAGGTCAACTGTACTAATTAATAAGTATTATTTTCACAACTTGAAAAAAAATTCATGAAATCAAAAAACAAGTGACTTACTTAGGACTAACTTCAATTTCCACAGCTTTATATTCTGGTGCACAAAGCTCTTGAATGTACTGCAGGCCTCTTGTTTCATTGAAATATTTTCGCTGGACGGTAACGATTGAGATTTCGGGAAAAAGCTCTTGAATTCTACAAATAAGTTTACTTTTTGCCCCAGATTCTAGAATGGTACTTGACAAAATTACCTAAAATTATCAGAAAAGTCAACAAATCACACAAAACTCAGACATATTTTTAGCTAAAGAATTTTTACAGTTGAATAAATCAAATTCTTAGAGAGAGATATACAGTACTTGCTTTAAGTGATGAAAACTTTTAGTGTTAACTGAAAGAAGTAAAAATGTTGATTTCTCAAAAAAAAAAAAAAAAAAAAAAAANAAAAAAAAAAAAAAAAAAAAAAAAAAAAAAAAAAAAAAAAAAAAAAGATTTTTTTAAGAAAAGATTATACAAACCTCCAAGGGATTAAACACATTGAGTTGTACTGCAAGACGAATATAAGCTGGGGTATCAGCAAATTGAGAAAGAATTAAGACTGGATTTTTTACATCAATACACGCCATTCCAATTTCACCTCTAGCTTTGCCTCTTCCTTCAACAATAGCTAAAAATATTTTCAGATGTATTAGTACAGTAAACAAAGTGGCTCTTTAATAAAAATTCATCACATTTACTTAATAATAATTATAATTGCCATAATAACTTTTATTGCCTGGCATATGTCTACGAAGTATTTAAATTAACTTTTCTTTTTAAATGGAAAATTTTCCTCATGTGTGCACTGATTGCTGAATTTTCTTGAATGGCTTGGGCCAGGGGTTAGTCACAAGTGTGATTATTCAGTTATTTAAAAATAACTAACGATTGGAGGACTATTAATAATTTTGTAAGATTTATTTAACCTTTGACCCATTAATACAGATATACAGAGAGGGTTATTAATAATAGGTTGGGTGAAATGAATAGTTTATGAAAATGTATTACATTAACAACATTATTAATAATCATAAAATGTAATTGGAAATTTATAATATTTGCTGGTTAAAGGGCATTTACACATCAATAATCACCAGCAATTACTAGTGATTCCAATTATTATGTTAATCTTTAATTAAAAATTATTTTTTTAAGTTCAGTAAAAGTTAACTAGGGGGTTACACCAAAGAAATTTTTTCTGCTTTTACAGACCCTCCAATCATTGGGTATAAAGGATGAAACAACATTTAGGGATACAGCAGAAGTTGCTCTTACAACTAGAGTTTAATAGGAGAAGAAAAGTTTTCTCATTTTATCTATGGTATTTGCACTTTTATAAACAGTACTGATCTTTCTTTGTGTTGATTATATCTGATATCACATTTAAGATAAACCGTTTCAGATGACATGCACGGATGACACTTTGCTAAAGCTGTTTTTCTGGTAGAGCAGTGATCACTTCGGAGAGCTGGACTGTCTTCTATATTCTTTTGGAAACACCTGCCTTTGCAAACATTAAAACTGCTTTTCTAATTCTTTTTGGAACTCACTTTACTCATTCATTGAATTTTATATATTTTGGTTTAGCTTTGTATGTATGCTAGTACCATTTAAAAAATGAAGTTCCAAAAATATACAACATACACATTCAGTAAAGTGCCGATCACTGTTCTAGTGGTTATTGTACTGAACTACTGGCCAGTGGTTATGGGTTCAAATCCCACTGTAGGCATGGATGTAACTTTCTCTCTGTTTGTTATTTGTTCTGCGTGAACAAAACCCACCCTATAAACAGGTTTATGGTTGGATGACACTTCTCCACTCTCGTGGCTTAGCCACAGGTACCAATTGAGTAGCAACTACAGCATTTCTGAGACCAATGGAATAATAACAGTGTATTATTATAATAATAGTGTATTATCATTTCTGAGACCAACAGTGCCCGCTATTTAAAAAAAACAGTTTGCAAAGCCTTTGATTTATATACATAGGTAACAATAAAATAACGGAGATTTTATTAGCGACATTTTTCAGACTATGAGCAAAGTTTTGATACATCATGCATAATCAAGTAAGTCTAAATTAGAAATAATATAAACACATACATTAAGCAAAGTAAAAAATATGTATATAAATCTTAATAAAACGAAGATTTTTTAAACCATAACTTAAAGACACTTAAACTATAAAAACTCAACATAATGCAGTACTGGCAATAGCACCATCTGTTGAGGAATAAGAAAAGTATTTTTGCCATTAGCACATATTTTATCACCAATTTATTAATTTTTTAAAAAATTTCTTCAACACCTACAGAGAAATTCGAGAATACACATGTAAACACAAGATAGTCGTAAAATATAGGAATCTTTGTTAAAAAACAGGAGACTTAGAAGGTTACCTAATATTCTTGTATTCAAACAAGATTGAGGTGTAGTTGATGACTTAGAGACTGAGGTCTCATTTCCTATTATAATCCTGTTCGGTGGAGGAGTAGCACAGTGCATTTGAATTTGAGTAGAAATTGAGTTGGAGCTTGACGATGACCACTGTTTAGGATGTGCTCTATAGCTTTTAAATAAATTGACAAAAATTAATTATCAGAGCAAAATTACTAATTATTTATAAGTGATTAATGAGAGAAATACTTTACAGAAATATGCTATAATAACAAGCACAGTCATTATAGCATATTGTAATTGTCTCATAAATGTAATTAATGAGAGAAATACTTTACAGAAATATGCTATAATAAAAAGCACAGATGAAGACATTAAATTGCTGTTACAATAACAGGTATCATAATTAAATAAAACAGCTGCATTTATCATAAATAAAGTAACAAAATATTTTTTACAGAGAAAAATTTCTTCTAAAACCTAACTCAAGAAAGGTGAAACTTAAAAGTAAAACTTAACTTAACCAATTGAAAATTAAAGATGCTCTTAGCATCATACAATAGAAAATTCAATGTATAGATTAAAAATGTATACATTAGAACCCTGATTAATGCTAAATAATTTAATCAAGACCTACTTTGAATAATCAAAACATTCAGATTACAGAGGGGATATCATTTAATCTATTTTCCTCAATTAATTCTGAAAATAAAGTTACTTTTTACTAATAATGCTGACTGCATAATATTTTAATTTAATTTTAAAATGGTTATTGAATAAAATTCCTTCCATCAAACAGATGTAAAAACATTTCATTTTAAAATTTACTAGCTAAACTAAACTAAATAATAACAAGCCAATTTGAAATGAAATTTGTGGGTCACACAAAAATACTTAAAACAAAAATAATGAGTAAATGCACAAATTCAAGCAACATTGTAAAATAAAATGCAAATATATATATATTCTACAATACAAATTAAACAAGGAAAAAGTTTACTTTCTTCTTGTCTCATCTATTGCATTAGGATGCAAAAATTGAAACTCCTTTTCAAAAGGCTTTTCAGAAGATGATCCTGAAGCAGCATGAACTGAATGAAATATAAGAAAATTTTATACTTTTTAGAGAAGGGAGGAATAAAAACCTGAAAAGAAGTAGCCTATTGCACTATGTAAAACAAATCATGCACCTCATATCACTGAATTTATACATAAACAAACAATATCAAATATTTCTAGAGATTAATAAGTCAGCCATAACATGATATTTACAAATTGGGAAGATTTCTGTATCACAATCACCAAGCTTTGGCAACTTCCAGGGGCAGTCTGCGAGATATTAAAAAAAATAATAAATCGCTGAAGAGTATATCTAGTAGCCACCCTCTGGCAAATCTCTACATGCTTTTTTTTTTAAATAAAAAAAAAAGGATTTTTACAAGTTTAAAACCTATAGTTTGCCTTGACTGTAGTTGGCATAACAGATCCCAATATGGATAAGTTCTCAACATACCCTTGTAGAGAAGATTAATATTCTTCCGTTACAGCAAAAACTAATAAAAATCAATGTTTTGTAGGAGAATACTCAGCAACATTCAGAGAGGAGTGATTTGGCAAGGACAATGTGCTAAACAAATACTTTATCACAATAAAATTGCACAAGATGAAAAAAAAATCTAGGAATGCAATCTTTTCAGAGGATAAAAAATAATATTTTTAACCGGAATTTTCCCCGGAACAAATATACAATTTCCACTCATTCGGAATTGATTATTTCCACCACGATTTAAAGGGGGAGAGGAATCAATAAGTATTTACTCCTGTAGTTGGATATCTTGATATGGGCATAATAAGAGAATAACCCCTAATATTTCTCTAAGTACATTAAATTGAAATAATTAATATAACATACTAAGAACAACAAACAATGTATAAAATAAAAGAACTATTTTTTTTTTAAAGAGAAAAACACACCTCTATCAGAAGAAGATTCAATAAGTTCCGCCATAATTTTTAATTACTTCAAATCTAAAAAACAAATTAAGATAATTTCGAATAGGAACTTCAAAAATTAGATTCAAAATTCGAAATCAAAAGAATTTTGAAATTCGTCCATGAAACCAATTAACAATAATTTCAAATCTCTTGCAAATTTTGCTTACAGCTTTTGTAGTAGAGTAAGAAAGTACATGCAATTTAAAGGGTCATTCCCACTTTATTTGATTCGTGTGTTAGATCACTTCGCCTGGGTCAGGAATTACACTTATCGCTTGAGCGATCAGAGTCTTGTGCCAAGAGAATCAAAATCCACAATGTCCAGTAAATCCATTGATAACTTTTGTCAGGCATAGTTTGTAGCACCATCTAAAAAAAACCCGACTTAATTTGCACGTAAAATGAAGAAAGGTTATTAATAATTAAACATAATATTTCGACAGACATAATAGTTTGACATACATAAGAGTTCGGCATGTATTTGCTTTTTAAGTAGTGTCCCGTAGTGTACTGATCATAGAAGTAGAACACAGAAGTCAGGCATGACTGGCTTCGGTTAGTACGAGGTTAGGTGAGTACTTTGATCAGCTTGCGTAGGGACCGAGGTTGCACGATATAGGTCCTCATTAAACTGTTAAAGTGCTCGACTCGTTACAATGTTGAAGTGCTACCGTAAAGTACTCGACTTCGTACGTAGGTCTTCAGGCTATCAAAGCTGGGGAGCCTTGCCCAGAGGCGTATCTAGAGAAAATGGCGCCTATGGCAATCCTCCCTATCGGCGCCCCTTCTTAAAATATTTTATATATATGTGGTGATTAGGTTAAATATATTAAATAAATTAATTCAATAAAAATTAACTATCAACACAGTTTAATAATAATAAAACATAAAAAGAAATTATATTAAGTTACAAGTAGAAAGACGAATAGGATTAGCGAGAGCAGCATTTCAAAAATGGTGTAAGTTCATCAGTTAGCAAGATGGAATGAATGTTAGACAATTGACCTGTTGCCATTTCTTGAAACTAAGGTTTTAACTCAGAGATGCTGCCATCTTATAGAAAAGTCATTTCCTTGAGGGGAAAGTTTTGTACTGCCACCTGGCGAGCAAAGTTCATCGCCATCTGGTGAGAAGGTGGTTCACCACAGTACTCCCCCCCAAGTGGTGAAGGCACTGATGTCAGAGGTAACGAGGGTTACAGCGAACATGCCTTCCAGAGCGTGTGATGGTCTGGGGTTGGATCACAGGGTCCTTGTCTTCTGGTGTAGGATCCAGAGAATCACTGATGTTTACATTAGGGGTTGCTTTTTGTCCTGTCAACACCTCGACCAGGTCAAGGTGTATATGGTCGAATCTTGCTGAAGGTGGTATGAATGGCTGGATAGGACTACGAGTGTGTCGGGTGACTTTGGATCTCTGGCAATCTAGGCAGCTTCTGGTCCATTCGACTATATCTTTGGCGATAGCAGGCCAAACGTATCTGTCTATGACAAGTTTTTTGGTGGCTCTTACACCAGGATGGGATAGGTTATGGAAAGCAAAGAAAATAATTTTCCTAAACTGAACAGGGACATATGGTCTAACTTTTTGCTTGCTAGAGTCACAAATTATGTGCAGTCCATTCGTCAGATGTAATGACTGGAAGTTTAGCGAGCACTTTTTATCATTCAGAAGAGCTTGAAGTTCAGTGTCACTTTTTTGAGCTATAGCCAGTTCATCAAAGTTTACAGGTGTCTCACTACCAATTTGCTGAATTCTGGATAACGTGTCGGCAACTACATTGTTCTCACCAGAGACATGTCTGATGTCCGTACTGAATTGAGAAATGAAGTCCAGATGCCTGAGTTGGCGCGGGGAACATGTGTCAGAATTTTTGGTAAAAGCATATGTTAAAGGACGATGATCAGTGTAAATAATGAAGCATTGCCCTTCAAGAAGATGTCTAAAATGTTTTACGCCCGCTTATATTGCAAGGAGCTCTCTATCATAAGTACTATAATTAGTTTTGGTTTTTGTTAACTTACGAGAAAAGAAAGCAAGAGGTTTAGGACCTTTAGGAAAATGCGAATGGACAACAGCACCGATTCGCGATCGCAACGAACTATAGGGGGCGTTGTTGTATGAGACGCTTACCTGCAAATTTTGTCAAGATTATATTACACATCATTNTAATCAACTCTTTTTAGCATTTTTCGAAGGCTAGTAAAGAATTCTCATCCCAGGGAACGGGACGTTTGTCGTTTTTTTTCGAATCCCTAAGAAACTCATTTAAGGGGGCCTGTGTTTCAGCAGTTTTTGGTATAAAACGCCTATAGAAGTTAATCATTGCTAAAAAGCGTCTTAGTTAAGAGATTGTTTCGGGTTTGGGAAATTTGGAAATTACCTCGACTTTGTCAGGAAGTGGCTAATGCCTTCAGTAGTTATCAAACAGCCTAAGAATTTTACGGAGGATTTACCCAATATACATTTATCAGGGTTTAGCTTAAGGCCAAAGTCCCGTAAGCGTGAAAATATTTTGTGTAAATGTTCTACGTGTTCTTCTTCTGAAGTAGAAGCAATTAATATGTCATCAAAATAAGGGATGCAAAAGTCAAACGGAGCTAATACTTGATGTATGAATGTTTGAAACGTCTGACCTGCGTTCCGGAGTCCGAACGGCATTGCTGTATATTCAAAGAGGCCAAAAGGTGTCGTTACAGCTGTTTTGGGTATATCTGGGGGATAGATCGCAATTTGGTGGTAAGCTCGGGCAAGGTC